CAGACCCAGTCCAGAGATGCGTTCCGTTGATTGCAGGAACCATCTTCTCTGTTTCTTGCTCGACGATCTCTTTTGCGGACAGCCTCGTACAAGGCAGTAAGGTGGGCCCCGGAACCCGACTGTATGTATATATATTTAGTATTATGGATAGTGTGACCTCACTGTACTCTGCACCTGTGTACAAGGTGCATTGACAAGGGTGCGTGCTGCAGGAGATGTACCACACTGTTGGCAGGCACAGGCGCGCGAACTGTGTGGATGTGGTCATCCCACAGATTGCATGGACTCCAGAATCGAAGTCTCCCGTCTGTCTCTTTGACATGCACGCTTGCGTGGTGACATGTTCCGATGAGGCTTGTATCCCTTCAGACAGGGAAAAGCGCAGCCGCGCATGAGACGATGGCAATCATGACCCATGAGGCATCTGGGGTTGCCGCGAAGGTGAATACTCGTGATTATTCTTCTTGTCCTCCAGAACCAGAGCCAGGATATCCAAGTCAAATATGATCTCAGAAGATCAAGAACTCCTTTCATGCCGTCGAGGCGAGCCCTGATTCTTCTAGGCCATCCCATCCAGTATTCTGCAGCCGTATCTTGTAACACCAGCAGTGGCTGTGATGGCGTACATCTCAATCAGCTTCCTCAGTCTCATCCTGGAAACATACTTCGGCCAATGTCTTGATTGTCTTGCCCATCCCGCAATCCAATGTATCGCACCTGAGTTCCGTTCCGGAGGAATACACAATGCCGCAATGAAACAACTCCCTTGGATATTGATGGCGTTAACTGCGAAGAGGTTATTGTACTTTAGGCCTCCTCTCTTTCCGACATTGTTCAGTGCACCTGTCTCATGATCTAGGAAGACCATTGTCGATAATTTGATTCCCCATCTCGAGAAAGTCTATGTCTTGAACGCCTTCTGTGCACCACGGTAGCCAATCACGACTCCGCGCCATTTGAGATCTAGCCGTCTTAGATCATTATTGACGGCAAGGCGGGCGAGATCCAGGCTAAATATTGCGTTTAGATAATAACGCAGGCTGTCGTTGGCCGGCGATGCCAGAGGGTAGCTCTGTAAACTGTTCACAGGTCCAGAAGAAGGCGAGGTTGGGCCAAATGAGGTAACAGCTTCGGTGCCGGTAATTGCTGATAGTCAACGAGAGGATGTTGGCTCATCTTCTTCAACATCATCCGACATCAGGTCTGGCTCCGGAGTGGTTCGTAACTCGTCCGGGAGGTGGCTGCTGGGCGAGCTTGGTGGTGCGGGTTCATCACCTTCGTCATAGAAGGTGCCAGACGACAGTATTTCGTCGCGGTGGTGCATCAGAACATGGCGACTCTTTTGATTCTTCGCGAAGCTCGTATGGCATAGCTGGCAGCGGCGCTGGGCACCTTTCATGACACGGTTTTGACATCTGGGTGCCGCCGCCGCCGATGACAACTGTAGTTGCTAAGGCACATACTTAGGGTTAGGGTGACGGTTAGAAACCTTGAGACTGTGCCATGAGAGAATTTGAAGATTGGGAGAGCGACGCAATATCGGGCATAGCAGTCAAAGTTGTCTACGCTTAGTAGGGCTTTGATGTATTGCGGGTTATGTTGGTCATGTTGGCAGAGATCTGCGAGGGCTCTGTAACCATGATGGGGACAATGAAGAATACCGCGGCAGAATCGTTGGTCTCGGTTCACATGCCCTAGCTCGGCGACTAGGTGGGCGTGGTTGAAACAAGCCGTCTCATCATAGACGATGCGGATCTGGTGCCAGCTGGAGGGTTGGCTCCATGGCGGATCGTCAACAGCCTCACCCTGTCTTGCAGCGGTTTAGTCCAAGTCGACGGAAGTGGTCGACGATCAGAACCAGCTGACATATGTTGACTGGATACGTCAAAATAAGAATTCGACATATGATTTGCGTTGTCGAAGAGGAAAACCCCCACCATTCTTCTGTTTCTGACTGTTGCTAAGAACAAACGGTATGTCCAGCTGGGGTAGGGAGTAGTAGCCAGTGCTTCTATGCCCCATTTCTAAAGAGATGCGAGACAGGCTCCCAGCAATCCACTGATTCAGACCAGGCTCATCCGCAGGGAGAACAGGGCCGTATGGACGACGAATGTGACCACGCGACGTCTTTCAGTCCACGCTCTTGCCACCTTCGTCAGCCGAAAACAGAGCTTCTCCATCATCAATGGCGATCTTCCTCGCCTTGCGAGCCTTGTCACGCGTCGTCTCATCTGGCGAAAGAATGCGCTTTGAACGACGTGTCGTCGTCTGTGGAGAAACACTCGGATCTGCTTCGATCGACCTCATCGACCGAGTCACTGGAGTCGTTGTTGGTTGGGTCGATGAAGTTCCCTTCTCAAACGACGCTCGAGACGTAGTCAAGGAACAGTCGGTGCCTCGAACGAAACATGAAGCACACTTGCCAGGTTTCTCTGGTATGTAGTATGCGGTATGCCTTCAGCGTTCTCTTCCTCGATGCTGGCTTCTTCTCGCCACCATTATGCTGTCATGCCGGCCTATCCATTCGTCCACCTCAATCAGGGTGGCCTTAAGATCCTTGGCACTGTATACTTCCCCGGATCCGTTGAACACTCTGCCACGAATATACCTTCCGCAGGGTATTTGATGGATTCCCGCAGGGTTCACGTCCGTCTTGTATGATTGTAAGGCTGTGAAAAAGACGTATCGACCCAACTCCCAGCGCCGCTTAGAGGCTTCTTGGCAGGCGGCTTCTTGGTCGCCTCCGGGAGAGTCTTCCTGGATGGTGGTAGATCCACGTGAACCCTTGGGTACGGGCGTTGACAATGACCCAACACCCACAATTGACCCCAAGTATGCTGCTGGCGAGAGGTCCAGGTCCTCTGCCGAAAGCCGAAAACCATCAGATATATCACTTATATCATAGCGATTTTCATGAAGAAATTGGCGGACAAGACGGATTTCGTGGCGGGGCCCGAAGAGTTGAGGTCCAACACTGGCCGGGTTTGTATATTGATATATACCAACGTCCAGTGGTTATGGGTGTTGATGGGAATGAAGACATGGACCGTTTTCGCCCAAATCAGGGGTACTGAAACTGAAGACCGACCAGGAATATGCTGTATAAACCCGGTTCGTCAGGCAGCATATGCGGCCGTAAGTATGATCTGTGTCAACTGCCCAGCCTCTTGGGTGTATAGGCGAAGCATCGCTTCGATGGTATTGTCGTTTGAGCAGCTGTCCCGAAGATCGAGTATGAATTTTTGCGATCCATTTCCCTCGTTGAAGTCTCGCGATTTGTGGCCACTTGTCGTCTGGTTTGTCAGCTGCACATAAACACGGAATTCCAGTTCGTTGGCCTCCATCTTGCTTGCTTGTACCATTCCTCGACGGAGTTGATCAGGGGCGCGTTTGGGACCACGAAAATATTGCCTTACGGAGTTTGTCCTTTGCATCTTGAGTATCTCTCACTCCAGGACATTTTGTAGGGCTGCTTGGCCGGGCAACGATGATTAGTGCTCCATATTATGTTTCCATCGGCGCCAGGCATCGGTTTGTCAGGAGGACCACGTTAACATTCATCCGTAGACAACATGGGTCTTCTCTCGTATACTAGATCCAGTGCTAACTTCCTCAGCCTCTCGAGAAACCGTGGACAGCATGCAGCCATTCTTGATTCTCTTAGACGGCGATTTCTTGGGAGTTGTATGAGGCGTCTTGTCGTTCCACAGTGCACTGACCGGGTGGATCCATCCATCGAATTCAATGTCCTCCCATACTTCCGTATTCAGGTCCGTTGTAACCGTTGGTGGCCTGAGCCAAGGACACGACGCCCATATATCCTCCCAAGTATTGTGTCGTCCGTAACCAACCTCTCTGGCAATTTCAAAGTCAGCTGTGATCCGTGCCATGGCTGGAACCCAGAACATGCACAAGTATCCGAGCAAGTCTGCAACCCGATTCATCATGGGCGTGGATACCTCTGACGCCATAATGCTCAAAGTGCCAGAGCAAACTGGCCTGATACTCAGTGTCAGGACCAGTCCTCTTGTTCCAACGGAACGGGAGGCCCATCATGTTCTTGGGTAGACGTTCATGAACTTTGCGGTCAGCCAGTGCCCGACCCTAGTGAGTCGACGGTTCCAACATACAGTTGTTCAATGAATGACGACAGGGACAGATCGAGTTGCATTGAGGCCTTGCAGAGCTGAAGAAGTTTCTCTGTGCCGCATACCCAGTAATCAAAGCGATGGTAGGGCGTGATCGCAATTTGAGTAGTCCACAGCCATATTGATGGCGTTGACTGCGAAGAGGTCATTATACTTTGAGTTTCCTCTCTTTCCGATATTGTTCAGTACACCTTTCTCATGATCCAGGAAGACCACTGTCGATGATTTGATTCCTCATCTCGAGAAGGTCCTGTGGTATTCATCACAGACAACCCGATGGAATGGCCGATCAGGCAAATCCGTGTCGACAATAGATGATGGAACCAGATTGCCAGTGCATCAGCGGAAATATCGAATACCAATGTTGCCAGGATGTGTGCATTAGCCAGTACTCGCTGGCAGAAAAGGCTTGTTGAAGTATGCCTGTGCGATCTGATGTCTCATTTGTTTCTCAGTAGGGGAGTCCCACAGGATCTTTTCGATTTGGGCTTTGGTTAAGGTTTTCTTTCGGTTTGGTCCGTCGTCTGGCAAGGTTGGGTACAGGCGTTCTTTCTTGTTCTCCGTCTTGTTCTTGGTTTGACCAGAGGCGGCTTTATGCCTCTCTGACCCAGCGATATAGAGCTATATCCTGTAAGATGTGCTCAGGCCAGGCCTCGGTCCAGCCCAACGCGTGGCGCAGTCCATACTCTTGATTAAACGTAGGTGCCGGATCCCATGCCGTCATTTCACTCGGTATCGCAGCCGGCCTCACTATCATCCCACCTGGTGGAGGAACACGCCTACTGGAACCAATGTGATGTGTCCATTGCCACGCATGGTTTCCATACGCGCGATTCCAACGACCACGCTATGTCACTTCAGACCCAGCTGCGTAAGATCGTGGTCGACTGTTAGATGGGCCAGCTTCGGCAGCGTGTAATCGTCCAGTTCCTCGAGATCGTCGAGCCAGGAAGGGGTCCAAAAGAGCCAAAGATACCCAAGGAGATCAGCGACACGGTTGATCATTGGTGTCGCCGTAACAATCCAGACACGCAGGGCATATAGCGTTTCAACCGCGGCCATGTTTTTTGTCCGTGGGTTTTTTAGTTTGTGCCCCTCGTCACAGACAACGCGGTGGAACAAGTGGGCGAATCTGCTTGCCATTACCAAGGAGTCGCTGGCGGCATTCTCATCGGAATGGTTGCGTCGACTCGAGTAAGATTCCTCAAACTCGCTCACAAGTCCGTAGACCTCTTTTAGGGTCTCTCGCTTCTTTGCAGTGCGGGCAGCCGTTTTCTCACGTTTCAGATTCTCGGCCGCATTGGGGTGATTGGGCATATATTGGGCATTTGGGCATATGGGGTCAAGAATGGGTCAGGGTTAGGGTTAGTTCTTGATATAAATCAGGAACACGCAAACCGTCCAATTTTCGCTCTCTGGCCCTCGCCACGGTGTTCCAGGCGGTGTTCAAGGCAATGCTGAGCATTCGCTGTAATGCCATCGACCGGCAGTATTGGTTTCCTAAGGATGGGAAATGTGGAAAGGTTGCTCGCTAGTCTTGTGCGCACACAGTATAGTCGCGTGACTCGGCCAGCGAGTGCGTGACTTCGTCGATCTCTTTTCAGTTGTGCTGACCGAATATGACTCGGCGTCGATCTCGGTGAGTATGAATAGTTCTCTCAGCAGTTCTGAGTGTGAGCGACCAGCTAAGTTCTCAACATGTCTGAATGTGAGCGACCACCACTGGCAGAATAAGTTGCATCCCCATTCAGCATGGACATTGCGATGTTCGAACAACAGAAGACAGAAAGCCATGTTTTCAACGAGTTGATCTGCTTGACCGCCCGGGCGCATAATAAGACCCTTCTCTTCTCTTAAGGGTGTCCTCTCTTCCCACGCGAGGGCAGGCAGCATGCCGGGACATCGCCAACACAAGAATCGAGAGGAGAAAAGTCGTACCAGACTATGACCTGCTTCGGACATGGTCTGACCTTTCGTGCAGAGCATGCCTTCGTGTGCCTGGAAAGAAGATTCAACTGAAGCAACTTTTCCGCGCCACAGTTACCTTTTCCTCGCAGCCATGTGCGCACAAGTCGCATGGTAGCAGAGTCTTCAATGATGGCTGATCACACGAGAGAGTAGCAGGTTTGTGTCGTCATCTCGATGATCTGGTTCGGACGCTGTTACCCGTTGAAAGCTGGGCATGGCAAACGACACCATTATCTTGGTGCCACCATGCTGTCTCCATGCGCCAGCAGAAACCAGTGCTGAATCTTCCTCCAGGAGGCTGTGCGGGAGCATCACAGGCAATTCTGGCCTTTCACCAAAGGAATGTTCGGCTTTGAGGTCACTCTTTTCGATGCGTTCTTTCTCTTCGAGTGGCTTGTTGATCGGGCCTTAAAGGGGAACGTCATTCTTTCGTTGGAGTTTGGGTATGAACGTCAGGAGAAACTCGTCATATCCAGGAAGGACGTCGCTCCAAGGCTGCACGAGGCCGCATGTTCGATTGTCTCAGTTCCATCGGGAGCATCGGGGCCGGTGGGGATGGACCGGATATTCGATCGGTGGCGCTCCCTCATCCTACTGCCCTTTCTCATTCTCCTAGCCTCCTGTGGACCAGCACCTATTGTTGGACATCATGCCGAGCTTCCTCGAGACGAGAGTCAAGGATGGCCTCTACCTCCCACTCAAGTTTCAACCGAGGATTTACCATAGCGAACAACGGTGAGAGCTGCGCCAACGGGAGTGGGAGACGAATGGAGAGAGAAGATGGTTGACACGAGCAGGGACATCTGAACCACTGCTCACCGGTTAAGGGGACACCCTCGTGGATGAGGCAGCATCGGAATATTGGTGGCGGTATTGGCTTGCAACGCAGGTATTTTATGCGACGAACCGTTGTCGCGAGGGGATAGGGTAGTGGTGAGAATGGAGAGGATGTCCACAACGTCCGTGAGGGTGCTCTAGCCAAGATTCGTCGATGCAGACTCAGTATCGGTTTCGCTGCGAATAACATACTGCTTCCGCCAGGGCGGCGGCTTTGAGACCGACAGACAAGACTCAATCATTCTTGTGCTTGCTTGGTTTGGGTCTGTAGTCTCCCGCTGCTGAGTGTCGTGTGCGAAAAGGGACAAGACATTCGAGAAGAATATGCTGAAGGCCGAATTTGGTGGAGCAAAATGCTATGTGTGTGCCACGAATGGTTGACCCAGCAAATTCCGTTCCTTTCGATCTCATGTTAATTCTCTTGCTCGCCACGTTGCCGTTCCCGATACGGCAACTTCAATGGTGACAGTGGCCCCAGCCCCAACCAAGAGTAGTTGGGCAGCCTGTCTTCTCCTCTGCACTGGTGTGACAGTCCGGTGTTTCAACGCGCGGGTAGATGACTCGATACCAGCGTCTTGAGAAAGCCCTGTATAGTGGCAAATGAAGCTGGCTGCAAATGAGGCTGTTACTAACTGTGATGCCTTGTTCAACCGACTACCGAAGGAGTCGCCGGATGTTCGTCCAGTAAGAAGGTCGGTCGGCCTGACTGGCGACATAGATGTTGAACAACTCATCACCGACCTGGATGGATGTGTATTGGCACTGAGTGTCGGAGTCTGGCTAGGGACGTGGATGAGGGTGTGTATCTATATATAAAAGAGTTCTCGAGACTGATCACATTGGAATGAACCAGATCAAGAGAGGTTGTGGCGCAGATGACGGGAAGGCATGCTCCTGGTACTCCTCAAGGCCTGAGCCCTGAGGAGAGGAGGTGGACTGCAACGCCACAGAGAAGAGGATGAGAAACGAAAAGCAGAAAAAAGGGGAGGGAAAGGCAGATACTTATACCTCTCCAGAGGCCTGCGAGACGGCTCATTCAATGACATGCCAGGGAATGGAACGGGAGAGCGTGAGTCATGACATGGATATTCCCTTCTTCTGGATCCTTGATCTTCATTTTCCTGCGCGTGGCTCCAGCTTTGAAACGGAGGCGAGATGCATTCTTACCTGTGAAAAGCTCGAACAGGGTCAAGTCGAGACATATCACCGTTTCTGCTTGGAATACGGTGGCGAGAGAGATTCAATGGCCTCTTTCTTCGTGAGAGATGGTGACGCTGAACAGCAGTGCATGAGAAGGGGAACTGAGTCCAGGTCATGCATGCATTCTTCACATCTTGTAGACTTCAACGATGGGTGGCACTGGCATGTTGCAGAGCTGTGTCAGCTGTGTCAAGGTCAGCAATCATGTCACCGACTCCGATGGATGAAACCTGGCACCAAGCACCACATTTCAACAACGATACCATTCACCGTTTGCACGATTAACATGGAATCAATCATTGACTTGTCAAAGCTGCCCTACCCACCAAGCGGCAAACAGAGAGGACATTGAATCATTCAAGGGCAGTTGATGTCTCTTCATTCCATTCAGTATCTTCTCTTCCCCCTGTTTCTGCTTTTTGTTTCTGGCTCCGACCCATTATATTCTTCACGACCACCTGCTTTTCACTTCGGCCCCTCAATCAAGACTTTGATCGCCTTGCCGGCCTTCACATCCTCAAACGCCTGTTCGGCATTCTCGAAACTGACTTTCCTAGTGATCAGCTTCTTGACATCAACCTGGCCACTGCTCGCCAGATCCACCGCCATCTGATAGTCACCGGACCCGTAGCGGAAACTGCCCTTGATGGTCAATTCCTTGGTGCAGGCGGCCATGATGGGGAACGTGATCTCATCCCGACCCATCCCACCCTGGACATAGCTGCCGCCCATGCGCAAGACATGGATCGCCGTCTGGACGCTCGGTTCTGCGCCACTGGCGTCGATGGCCACATCGGCACCCTGGCCGAGATCGTTTTCATCCTTGAGTCGCTGGGCATTTTCCGGTGCTGAGACTTTGGCCGGTTCGAACGATGCCGTGGCCGCAAAGGATTTGGCAAACTCGAGTCGTTCCTTGTTTATATCCACGGCAATCACCTTTCTCGCGCCCAGAGCTTTGGCCACGCCACAGCAGAGCAGTCCGACGGGCCCGGCGCCGAAAATGACCACATTGTCGCCCTGCTTCAGACCCGACTGCTTGGTGATATGCACGGCGACTGCAAGAGGTTCCATCAACGCGCCTTCTTCCAGGCTCATGTTTTCCGGCAGCTTGTAGCAGAAGTCCTCCGGCAGCACGTAGTACTTGGCCAATGTGCCGTCGTATGGGGGTGTAGCTGCAAACGCCATGTCGAAACACAAGTTGTATTTCCCTTCTTTACACCGCACGCAGCGTCGGCAGGGGACACCGGGTTCCATGGCCACCCTGTCGCCCTTCTTCAGTGTTTTCACTTTGGATCCCACTTCCACCACTGTTCCCGCCGACTCGTGGCCTAGCACCATGGGGTCTTTGACCACGAATTGTCCTATCCGGCCGTGTTGCCAGTAGTGCACGTCTGAGCCACAGATCCCGGTGTACTTGACTTGGAGGAGGACATCGTAGGGACTGGCGAGTTTGGGGACGGGGCGGTCTTCGAATTGCACATCTTTGACTCCGCGGAGCACGAAAGAGTCGTTTTCCTTTGTTGCTCATGTCAGTCGAGTCGCCCAGCGTTGCCATATTCAAGAGACTGACCTTCGTTTTTGTTTCTGTAGTCATGACTGCGAGTGCAATGGGCCAGTTAACCTAACAGCGATGAAGCAAAGACGGACTGATACAGATGAGGGGTAGACAGGGCACGATGCTTGTGTACTGGAGGTATAGAGAGAATGCAGATGGGTAGATTGAGGGTTTTCAAATCTCCTGAGAACGAATTCGACTATGAACACCACTATGAATGTACAGCGCCGGCTCCATGCGCGGCGGACCGCCTTCTATTGTAGGCAAGGCGGAGAGCGGTGCCATGATGAGTGCTGTGGAGAGAATGTGGTGTGTTCTCCGTGCTCGGTCTGCGGAGGATGTGAACAATTGACCACCGGAGAAAGACCGGCCACGGTACCGACAGGCATTTAGCCTAAAAGGGAACCGGCGGTGGAGACGGCGGGATTCAGGTCACATGATCACTTTCCCCGGCCTCCGACACACGATATGCTCGTTGCCATATCGCAGACTTGGGAAGGGTATGAGAATTATATGTATGAGATCCGCATCACCGGTGACCACTGCATGAATGACTAGATGCCCTCGCAAAGATTGCACAGATGGCGGAGACGTCCAATATCAGCCTGTAGCCATGGCCTAATGGCCTTCCTCAACCTGCACGACCTTGTCAGGGTTGAGCAGCCCCATAGGATCAAATGCTTGCTTGAGCTATATTGTTGTGTCAGCATCGACGTACTCCTAATCTGTAACAAAGAGAGATTACTTACCCTGCGCATGGCATCGACGGTGTCATCTCCCAGCTCTTCCCGAATGAACTCGCGTTTCTTCAAGCCAACACCATGTTCTCCAGTGACGGTACCATCCATCGCGATGGCGCGTCGAATCATGCGATGAACCACATCTTCCGCAACCTGCTTCTCAGCATCGTTGTATAGGAGAATAGCTGTCACGACATTAGTGTCCGCCGTCAGGACCGAAGACCAGCCCAAGCAAGACTTACCGTGGAAATTCCCGTCGCCCACATGGCCGCAAATACCACCCAACAGACCACTATTAGCAACATCATCGCGAGTCTCTTGAATGATATCAGCGAGACGACTGATAGGAACGGCCTGCATTGCATTAGTATATCGACCTCAGCCTCGTCCACGGCAAACTTACCACATCGGTGGTCCAGACATGGTCAGTCTCATCTCGTCGCATCGACATCACACTCCAGAGGGCTTCTTTCCGCGCGCTCCAGAGTTCCAAAGCTTCGTCGTCATTTCTGGCGAACTCGAAGCTCTTGTTCTTCGTGCTCTTGGCCAATTTCTGTACGACACGGATCTGTTCCTTGATTCCATCGGCAGTTCCGGCGAACTTGAAAAACAACGTAGGTGCCTCCTGCCATTGTCGGCTCGTCGTGCCACTCTTGTTGATACACCGCATCTGTACGTCGTCCAGGATCTCGATTCCAGCAAGCTGGATTCCTTCGCCGACCACTTTCGCAACGCATTCGGCGGCGGCGTGGATGGATGGGAAGGTAGCCACAGCGACCGATTGGCATTTAGGAAGGACTGTCACTTTTAAGGTGGCTTCCGTCACGATTCCGAGGGTACCTTCGCTGCCGATGAATATTTGAGTCAAGTTGTAGCCGGCGCTAGACTTCCGAGGCCGTCGTCTGGTTTTGATGATAGTACCATCGGCCAGTACGACAGTAAGCGAAATGACCCATTCACGCATGGTGCCGTATCTGTAGGCGTTGGTGCCCGAACAGCCCGTTCCGACCATGCCGCCGATTTTCGCACCTGGGCCTGGATCCGGAGGAAAGAACATGCCGTGCCCGCTCAGATGCTCGTTCAGATCTTCCCAGCCCAAGGCCGGTTGTACCACGATATCCAGATCATCCGGGTGGAATTCCACGATTTTGTCCATCCTCCCCATGTCGATGCAGATTCCTCCTCTTGTAGGTGCGAAATGTCCTTCGAGACTGGTCCCGCCCGAGAGCGCAATCACAGGGATCTTTCGTTTATGACACACCTGCATGATCTTGGAGACTTCTTCGGTCGTGGCTGGATACACGACAGCAAAGGGTCTTTCGGTGGGTTTCGTGCTGTAGGATGACCATTCGGAGCCGGAATGCGCCGTGAGGTCGTCTGGGACGGTAGAGACATTGTCCTTGCCCACGATCTGAGCAAAGTCCACCCAGGCAGCTTGGAGGACCGATGTTCGAGTATCAATTTGAGGCGGGTGTGCGCGGGAGAGCGGAGTGGTTGAGGACGTGTCCAGGGCTTTCTCGCCTCTGGATCCTAGCCAGTAGCCTGCACCGGCAACCGACAGAATCACTTTCCCCGTCAGCGATGCTCGAAACAAAGTATTTTAGGTCTCTTACCAACACTAAGAGCAAGCGTCCTGCCCTCGGCTGCTCTGCGAACTCTGGTGGCTTGGATGTATCGCGCTTCAGAGGCTCGTTCCCGTTTCAGCCGGTCTGCGGTACTCTCGTACAGTTGGCCCCGGAAAGATATACTCTCCTTTTCTGTGTCCTTGCTCTTTTCTTGCCATCTTCTCGTCGAGTTGTGGAACTTCCTGGCGGCGTACGCTTGCTGCAGTAACGACGCCCGGGACTGCGACCGGGATTGGCACTCAAGACCGCGGACAAAAGAGGTGGCCGGCCGGCAACCCTGGAGGATTGGCTTCATTCTGGCGGTGCAGCGACACAACTCAACCTCGCTAACATTCCTGCCTCTCCACAAAGGTCTGAGACGATGTCACAGGTTGATTAGGAGGATGTCAAGCAGCAGTACAGAGTATATTGAATTGTATGGACAATGGAGCCCGCGAGAAACTGCGGAGAAGTCGGTTCTCTACCGGGTTTAGTCGCGACTGGTCGGCAAATGCGGCTGAGAGAAGTCCGGACGCATATCAAACCATTCGGCCGAAGAACGGTTTCAGTTGGACTCACAAACGACGAAGTCATGTTGAAGCCATGCTCGACACACTCAGTCAAAGGGCATAATGAATGCCTGTTGAATATTACATCTGTAACTGATATGGTATATTATGTATGCTCGAACCAAAGCTCGCTCGATTATATAGAAAAAAACTTTCGCAGATTCGTCCGTAACTATTGTCCCAAGCACGCCAGACCAGTGTTTCCATATCTGCCAATATGCCCCGACGGTGTTCTTCCTAGTCATTGTCTCATCAAGGCTGCCTCTTCTCGCGCCTCCCATCTGTGCCACCTTTGTTGGCTTCTCCAGTGGTGCCCTCCAGCCTCATTCAATGTTGGGTCGAGCGACAATTATCCTTGCTGTATCCCGGCTCACCACTCAATTCTCCTCACACTCGGGCAATGTACTCAGGCAATGAGGGCTGCGTGAGAATCGGCCACAGAGGCAGACCCGGCCTAAAGTAATATGAACGACTTCTGTTGTTCCACAGTCCACTGTTCCTGCCTCTTGGGTAAGGGTCGATTCTCCTCCGGACAGGAATTCGCGCTTGACGCTTAACACAATCGACGGGACTTCGCGCGCTTTATGCTCTCGCTGGCTTTGCTTGCCTTTCATGAACCAAAGGCCCTCTGTCATGACAGGTCGTTCCCCTATCTGACTGCTGCTGTGTGCAGACTCACTGGATGACAGTGTCGAGACCGCCCAATTCACGATTCATAAAATCCATGCCGGAAAACCAGGCCATGTAATTCGAATATGAACGGGTTGGAGCGTATTGACGCGATTCCGTCCAGTCCTGTACTTTGGCGTCGGTATCGTCCTTGGTAGAACTAATCCCACGGGCCTTCCATCACTACCATCTCATCTTCATCTGATTCCTTGTTTTCAACATCGTCCTTTGACTTCTCCTCTTCATTTGGCTTCTCATCTTCGGGTTCGGGCTCGGGCTCGGGCTCGGGCTCCTCGCCTCTTGCCAATCCCTTGAAAGGAGTACCAATAGCGATCGAATAGTTCTGGGCAGCTTCGACTGCGCAGGCAATGACATCCTTGCCTACAGCAGACCATCGCAAATCCCAAATCACTTCACCATCCTGAGACAAGTCCCTTTGAAGAGTGGCGCCAAGATACGGCAGGTTCTGAAGTAGCTTATAGACGCCGTGCAACCGCAGAATCTGCACGGTCGAATCTGCCACCGAAAATGAGATCGTCATCTCATCCTTGCGGGATGATTGGTCCCATTTGGCGATACTGTTGGTAATCAGTATATGCCCTTCGCCACAAGGGTCAGAAAGACCCTCGGGTGGAAGGGCGGCGTCCCCAAAATCAACCGAGTCGGACAAGAAATTGAGGTAAAAGTCGTCACCGTAGGCGGTGAGGACCAGCAGTTCCGGTCGGTACATCGACACCGACTTGCAGCCCACGTCGATGTGCGACCTGGGGAATCCGACATATGCATGTGCTCCAGTGCTTGATTTTAGTTGCAACGGAACAAGATTCGTTCCGCCGCTGATGCGTCCATGGGTGTCATCATGGGCGCCCGCCAACCCTTCTGCGACTTTTTGTTCGTAGACGAGATCGCACCAACCATTGCCGACGTGGCATTTGAGGATAGTCAATGGGCCGAAACTGTGGATAAAGTGGATATATTGGCTCGGCCACTTCTTCTGACCCGAAGCGGGCGTTTCGTGCTCGTTGTGGAAGAAGGGTGCCCAATTCTTCTCCGACTGTGCTCTTTCTTTCTGTCCGTTGATACTCAAGATGGTGGTGACGTTGGAAAATGGTCGGTACATGTGCATCGCGCGCGTCATAGTTTTGAGGTCGTTGAGCATATTGAAGACCACGATAGGCTCTGCATCTTCGACGTCCGGTTCAATGATGATTCTGGGGTCTTCCGGTCCGTAGAAGCCTCCGCCGACCTCGTAGGGTGCGGGCACATTGAACACGGTCGGGAACGTGATATCGTTGCCATGCCACTGGATCGTGTGATTCTTCAATTCATTCCAATCCTCGTTATAGAGCTGGCCCCTGATGAAGCTGATGGCTGGCCAGTGCTTCACGCCTTTGTCATAGAAAATAACTCTGGTGACACTCAAAAACACTTCGTAGTTCTCGAGCCAAACGCTGGATCCGGAAAGCCTCGCCCATGTCTTATCCACCATCTCTTCGAACGTCAACCTCTGGTCTTGTCCCGAATAATCAATCATGGGGTGGCCTTTTAACGACGTTGCCAACTCAACAAGATCATCTTCAAGGTAGAAACTGCGTTCAACTTGGAGTTCGCCATCGTATCTCAACTCGTCGCACGTCCGCTTGCCTGCCTTGCCGTCGTTCAGAAAGCCGGTGATGGGTAGAGTTTGAAGGACGTTGTCGTTTTGGACGTCCGTCTCGAAATTCTCGAAGTTGGAAGACGTGGGAAGCCAGGGCTTATGTGCGTTAGCGAGATGGCCTTAACAAATGCATGTTACCTACCTGTACAGAGTCGAGAGTGAGTGTCCGAAGGCAGGCCAGGAAGAGCACAGTCGCAATCAATGCCCTCGTAATCCTGCGACGACTGTACCCGCGCTTCCATGCCGGAACGGGCTCGTGGGTTTTCATATCTGCAACGGCCCAGCTGTATTGGCGTTATCAGCCGTGGTCAGTCCCAGAGGTCAATGCACATAATTGCGATGCTGTTCGAAAGAGACATATGCAGAAGACAAGAGAGGGATGTTTAACACGATGACATGGTCAGCCTGAAAACGTCTGTTGCGAGTCGTCAACAAAGGCGAAGAGCATGTATACCGCGCCGGTCAGCCCCTTTGGAGTCCAAGTCCGGTCGTTATTCTGTTGGAGCGCAAGGGCCTGCGAGCCATCAAACTCCGAGAATGTCAGTGCTTTGACAGGTGTGCTATTCGAGCCCATGCCATGGCTCTAAATCTCGCAGGCCAGAAAATGGAGCCCCTTCTTGATCGCAGCCGAGTACCTTGAAGTGACTCTAAGGAGCAGTCCATGGTGTCCTTTTCCTAACCACTTTGAGACATTATTGTATTGGCGCTTTGCGAGCAGGGACTGATCCCCATGAAAGCATAATGCGGAATCGAAATTTGGCTTGGGATAGCATGGGGTGCCCGCGTCGTCCGCAGGCTCCATGGCCTCGCGTAGACCCGGCTGGCTAACGTCGCTACAACTCCTGTTGGTCGGGTGTGAAATAGCACGGCGGATGGTAGATAAGATCCCTGTCTCACATCTCGCGAAATGGCGATGTCTCATGCAATAAGCTGCTTTGGAGGCTAGCAGGTGCTTTTAAGGTTTGAGGGTAGTCTAAATATGGAATCAAGCTTTGTTAATGTCCTTCAATAGGCCAATTGTGAGCTGGAAAACTGGCAGTAGCCATACTAGCGCCTTTTGGCGCCGCCCAGCAATTGACCGGCCGTTACAATCTCCTTTCTCCCATTCTGACAGATAGGAGGTGATTTGCCCCCCTCCCCCAGTTTCTGCGCCGAGTATCACGCCGAACCAGACTAAAACAACTGCCTATAGATCGATGTACGTACTGCGCCAGATCTGGATCGCGTGGATCTACTCTACCTAGGTAGGTAACTGTTTTACAGTGGGTGCGCAGTTGCGCATTCATCCCCATGAATATCGAGGACCTCGACCCGGGTCGCCTGGTTCGAGACCTTCAATCTACCATGTCCAATGTCGACGTCTCTTCCTGATCAATATCATGCCTTTCTACCCCTCGTGAGATCTCATAAGTCAAGACAGTCATATCCATATAAGTAAGCATCAGTCTGTACCTGCGGCTGCTCTCCGTTGTTTGCCATGATTCTCTGCTCGAAGGGGTGTCCCATCTGCTGGTTTCTATGCTCACCTTGGAGCCTGACTCGGTGTCGGAGTCATATGACGGCCTCTTTCTTTTCAATTGATGATCACTGTCGTGGTCGGTCTCGCGATCGGCCCTTTGATGATGCTGATCGCTTTCTGGGATTTCGCATTCGCGGACGACAATGACTGTAGGATCAAACGTCGTTGGCACGCCATCTACAGCACCGTCTGAGCCCCATTCGACCGGAGAATCATCCGGGTAGCCGGCTGTGTCATCTTCGCTCTTCAAATGGCCTTGGATGGGTGAAGTCGCCATACCCAGGAGCGGCAGGAAAGGTCGAAGCCTTCGTGCCTCTTGCTTCTGCGTGGGCAGAGTCCAATCGACCCGCAACCCTAGCGTCCCAGACTTTTGGTTCTTGGTAAGGCTGCAAACAGCACATCGTCCAAGCTGTGAAGCTATGATGACAACCCCCAACTCCGGGATCGCCTGCATCATGTTCAGCCTGTCAAGGTGCGCATGCCTCGTCTGTTCAATCTCTTGTGGCAGAACCTGTTTGAGAATATTGGCACAGAATAGGTGGGCACTGTCTGCTTCCGGTGCAATTATAAGCCTGAGATTCGAGGCGCTACAGTGCAGCACAGGTATGGGCGGGGGAGTGGTGTCGGCGCGGACCTTGCGAACATCCCAAGCATTGGCCTTGGAATTGCGCTTGAGTTGTGCCGTCCAAGAAGCTTGCCCTTGCAGTGACGAATCCACATCTACACCTGAGGCATCATCATCGGTATAGCGGCTATGCCGGCTGGTGACATTGGATGGACGCAAAGAGCTGGATTGACCAGCCGGTTCACTCTGTCCTGCTGCCTCCGAGTGTGAGTGACTTGAACTCTCGGCGCCCTCAGAAGCATCCAAATCGGAAGGGAAGTCCTGAGGCTGCACAATATCGGTCGAGGATGACTCTGCTTCACCGGTAGTAGGAGAACTCATGTCACGATCAGATCCTTCTTCCAGGCTTGCGGTTGGAACCTCCCCCGCCACTGTTGGCCCATTAGCTGCGTCGCTCTCGGAATTATCGATGGACGTGTCTGAAAAGCTCTCAGTCGGATCGCGGTGGCCAACCAAGGTGGAGAACTCGTTCAGCGTGGTTTCGTCATCCTCGACATCGCTGCGGTCCATGTCCGACCAGGAGATCAAAGGCTCCAGGTTCTCTTCATCGGCGCTCTCTTCTTCCGGATGCCCGTCCAGCCGCGGAAAAGTGGCGCTATGCCCCGGCGTGCGGACTCGGACTATGTGAGTGATATCGTAGCTCTCACCAACGTGTCCATGATACTGGGGAGCTCTGGAATGTCCGCAGAATTCGTCCATCGTCTCTGCTAGCCGGAAAGCACGAGGATCCAGGGCAGCAACAAGCCAGCCGCCTTCAGGTCTTCTGAAGAAGGCTGAACGAGTTCTCCTCTCAGCCAGGTCCCACGTCTTGATGCACCTGCCCTGCCAGATCTGCCACATCTTCATCATGCCTCCGATGTCGGTGCTCAACAACCACTTGCCTTCTAGATCCTGGCCCGTATTCACAAAGGAGATGCTCGGAATATTGTAATCGTGTCCATCAATGCCGCCTAACGTGATCTTGTAGTTCCTATCTCGTGGAGGGAGGAAGTCGTCTGAACCATTTCCTTCCCACTCATGCCAATCGGGCTGTCTGGAGTGTTCGCCGGCCTCGAAACCTGCGTCCATCGCATCGTCATCGTCGTCATCCCCGTCCGTTTGCCCTTCTTGCGTCAACGCGAATGCGAAGACGGTGACCTTGGAGCAAGGATCACCGCTCTGGACGTGATAAGAAGTGTTTGCCGATACTGCAATCATGCGCGCGTGGGTATGGATACTGAGCCCCCAGGCGGACTCACAGACCCACTGTGCAAAGAATGCCCTGACTCCTAAATGGTCGCTTCGTGGATGCGGCCGCAGGGGCGGTGCTCTGTTTATGGCGGCCTCGAGCGACTTGGTGTAATAAGCCGTGACATTGCCGGAATCTGTTGCCAGCAGGAGGATTTCCTCCGTTCCCAAATCTCCCACCATTAGATGATCGATATCATGAGGCGAATGCGGGTCAATATAGCCTTGAGCTTCCGGGTTCGCAAGAGTCGGCAGTATGACAAGGCATGGCATTCGCCGAAGTTCCTGGAAAGGAAATTCGGGCTTGTAGACCACGATGGAATTCCGCGTTGCGACAAAGTATAGATTGTAACGTTGGGACAGAGCGGTCAGATTGTTTCTCCAATAGGCTATGGGAGGAGGATGGAACATCCCATGGCTTGTGAACCTGTCTTTCCCTGCTTCTACATTCGTCAGTCCCACGTTCACCGATTCAAACGGTCTCGAGTCAATATCCATGATGCCCCAAGTGGTATGGCAGGCTCTTCGCTCAATGGGCATCGATCGGTCAAGGCAGCGCCTCGAGTAGCCGGCGGCTTGTCAAAGGGTTCACGTCATGCCACCAGTCCTGCTACGTTCTTGAGATATGTTCCAGTCGGGAGCACAGCGCGGAGGGTAGGCTAGAGGGGTTTGAGCTCGTCCGGAGGTTGCTCGGCCTGAAGAAGATGATGGGATGTCATGAGAACAGCTGGGGTGTCAAGTCTCCTCGCTACGAGGCCCTTGGATGGTTGGAATGGTCAGGATCAGGGCTGCGTCGCAAATGTGATGAGGAATGAGTGACAAGTCGAACAATGACAGCTCCAGAAGCGAGCATCGTGGAGGATTGAGATGTACGTAAACGTGGCTGTCGTGGTGGTGGTGGTGGTGGTGGTGGTGGTGGTGGTGGTGGTATGTGGTGGAGCAAAGCCAAATGACGCAGCCGGCGCAGGTCGCAAGGGACGTCGATTTCACCTCTCAAATTCATTCTTGATCGATCATTTATTATATCAACTATCTATCAACTCCATTTCCCCCAGGTTGGTCACCCGCCAAACAACCGCAGGCGACCACTATTGTGTCTACAACTAAGAACCGCCGTTTCTTCTTCCTGCAGCGACGCCACAACATCCCCTTGCTCCCCAGTCATACACCGATCAATGCATGATTCTGCGGACCGCTTCCTGCACATTGACGGGTGCTGAACAGGTCTGCCAAATTACTGTTGTTCTTCCCGTGGCTACAAAGAGATTGTGTTACACAGCAGCACGCTATCGAGGCGCGGAGCGGGCTCATCCATCCCTACGATCTGCGAGCTTGATCTTGATCGTTCCCTTCTTCTCGAGCCTCAGCAACCTCGAACATGGATCTGCTGGCTACAGTACGCAAGGAAGGCTCCCGCGGCGGCCGCGGCGACTTCAAGTGGTCTGACGTAGAAGCCTCTTCCCATCGCGAACATTATCTGGGGCACTCTCTGATGGCGCCCGTCGGTCGCTGGGCGAAAGGTCGCGATCTGAACTGGTACGCAAAGACCAGTAATGAAGCAGACAACGAAGAAGATGCCGAGGCCAAGGCTGCACGAGAGCGGAAAGAAGAGATCCAACGAATCAAAGAGGCCGAAGAGGATGCACTTGCGAGAGCCCTGGGGTTGCCTGTTGCACCAAGGAACAACCCCAACATGGAAGAATTAGGCGCCCACCGCGAGGTTGGCAAGGTTTTGAAGGAGGCCACAGACGCGGATGCTACCACTGGCTCACGCGGCATCGGATACGGTGGGCCTGCAGGGACTACAGCATTGAGAGAGATGGATCCGACCATTGAACGATTGGAAGAAACTGCGAGCGGACAAGATAAGGAGTTGCAATATGCACTCAGAGAATACTCAAGACGCCACGGTGGTGAGAGGCGTAGAAGCCGCAGCCGCAGCAGAGATCGTCGGAGAGATGATGATCGCCGAAGAAGGCACGGCACTGACCGTCATCGAAGAAAACATCGATCACCGGCGTCGAGCGCCCGCGACCAACTTAAGACCAGAAGATCTAGGTCGCCGTCACGCGAGAGGCATCGCGATCATCGTCGGCGGGATCGATCGAGGAGCAGGTCTCCTAGACCACCCCGCCATGGGGCAGCCCACGAACGGCGCGACAGTGAAAGACGACACGAAAGACATTGAACCCTCGACGATTAGCCCGTGTTATTGGAGAGCTAGGTCGGACGTAAACCCAGGGAAGCATCGAAGACATCGCCTTCAATGTCTTTGAGGTCAATGTCTACGAGAGTCGATGCCCGTCGAGCGCTGGCACCATGCCTGCCGATATCAGCCGACGCACTGGTGTCGGCAAACTCCTCCAATTCCTCGCTCACAGTCTTCAGCTTCTCCTTGACGCTGGCGACGCCCTCGACGCCCACAATGTGCCTGGCTGGAGGGTTCTCGTGTCCACCTATTGCGGTCAAGGCATGAACAGTCTCTGCAAGCAGTTTCTCCGTATGTGCATCGCTGAGCGGCGGATATAGACTAACCACCTCGTTACAGCTCAGGAGATATGGACCGCTTTGCCTCTCGGCTTCGGAAGAAGGGGAGCGTATGTCTTGGTCTGGTGGTGGTGGGTATTGAGCGCGTATTCCCGGTAGTCGGTTGAGCAAGCCGTCCAGGATGCCCCGAAAGATTGGGGCTGTATGGCCGAACTCTCGTGAATATTCTTTCATCGGCGGCACGGACGTGAGCTTGTTGGTCAGGATCCCGATCTCCACGCTGGACTGGACAATGGTCAACTTGATGTTGAATGGGGCAATCTCGTAGGCAATGCTGTCGCAGAACCCTTCCAACGCCCATCCCGAGGAACAGTACATGCTCAGGCCAGGTGTACCTAGGTGGCCGTGGATGCCCGTAAGAACGATTATGTGGCCGTTCATCTTGGAGCGCATCTCCGGGATGGCGGCCTTAATGATATTCATAGGGCCGAAGAAGTTCTTCTCGAATTGGTCCCGCACAAGCGTCAAAGTTCGCTGGTTTGCTGCGAGCTCCTCGACCGTGCCCACCACTGCCTCGCTTGAACAGCAGAACAAAATGTCGATCTTCTTGAAGGCATGGACGGCCTCTGCAACGGCCGCTTGACATTGGCCAACAATTCTGCGCCCGTCAGCAATGGCCTTTTCCTCAGATACAGAATCGCACTGGCCATGCTTGTCGAGTGATAGGTCACTGGGAAGGGGAGGAATGCATACCTAACGTCCAGAGGAACAATTTTCATTCGGTCTTTCCATCCATTTTCCCTGACCACCTCGGATAGGAACCGCTTGAATTGCTGACCGCGGGGACTATCGCTCTCGAACTCGGATTGTATGATGCCAGAAACAACATAGTCCCCATGATCCAGAACCTGGCGGGATACTGAGATGCCGACGGGAGAGTCCCCCGACGTAATCAACCACACCCTGGGTGCATTGTGCGTAGGGAACTGAGGCGTCGGTGTGGGCGCAGACCCTCCATTTGCCATGGCAAAGCCTCAGCTTTCATCGTCCATCCAGCATTGTACTCCTAGATGAAGCCGTAATCCCGGTTGCTGTATCAGTGTGTGATGTGGCGTTGTCTGGTACTGGTATTCTACCGCTTCAGCACCTTCAAGAGCTTCAAGTTCAAGTTGAACTTCCATTCCTGCCAAGAGGAAACTTGCCCCATTTTAGAACGGGGGTAGCGCCGCCCTAGGATTTACCTGGAGGTCGCGGGGGCGGGGTCATCGCCAGCTATAATTTGGCATGATTTAGGGGTGAGTTAGGGAGGCTCGGAAGTTCTTAGGCTAACTAAAGTACTCGTAGCTAGCGTCTGAGATCCTTCAAATTAGGCCTGTTAGAACGATGCGGCTTCTACTCTTGGACCAAATCCAGATCTGGCTACTTACTAGCAGGTATGTAGGTACTACCTGGTATTTAGATCAATTCCTATTCTGAAGAGAAATGTAAGGAACGCATCGTGTCTCGATGTGCTACTTACAAGGTACTTTTGCCGGAACCCAACCATCTCATCGTCCTGTCAGAAGAGTTGAAAAGCTACTTCCAATCGTCACTGTGGTCTCAAACCCCATCCCATTTCACTGGCCCCAGGAGTTGGCTGTGTTGAGCTGGGCCAACTTTTTCTGATATCGAAGCTTCTCCAGGTCCTTCGGAGACTCGACCGTGACCCTGCATCCTTTGACTTGTTCGTCGGCCAGAATCGCTTCGTACACCTTTGCATAATCCGAGGCCTTCATTTTCCACGCATTGGCCTCGCCGTCGCAGTTGGCATCATATTCAACACGGTAGTCGAGATAGGCCTCGTTGAAGCGGACATTGGTCTTGTCCAGCTCGCGACTGGCCACCGCTGCCAGCGAGAAAAGAGCGCCCTGCGACACGGCCGTGACGCCAGCGACCCCCGACCTGCCCGCGCCGCCTGTCACCATGGTCCAGGTCGAATGCGGGTTTCCTTGTTCGAGGAGATAAGGGATTGTTGCGCGGTAAGCGGCTGCAGAAAAGAGAGAAAGAGACAGTCAATACCAGGTTCTGTTCGTCGTGACTAGATACACAAATAGTCCACACCCACCCTGGTAACTGGTTTCACTTACAGAATGCAGACTCGGCGTTGATCTTCATGGTCTCACGATAGGAAGTGAGATCGACGGTGTAGAGGGGGTTTTTGGGATTCCAGACTCCAACTATACTCATTTCTTTTGTCAGCGAAGACTGCTTACGGACGCCATCGAGACGAGAAGCGAAACCCCAGGAGAATCGCTTGCTGCCGTGGGTACACTTCTTTCTCGCCCAAATGTCGGGCTGTCTCTCTTTCTCTTTCTCTCGAAGGAGGTTCCAACTGGTTTCATTCTTACCTGCCTCGTAAACATGTTGGAATGAGGGCAATTTCCCGGCCCTGACGCGGTCAACGACACTCTGCACGCCCTCTTCACTCGTCGCATCGGCCTCGACCGTGGTGATTCCGGTCTTTGTGCCGACGTGCCGGTACAGCTTTTCTGTGGCGGCCTGGTTGCGCACGAGAGCCAGCACTTCTCGCTTGGAGCGCAAGGCGGCGATGATGGCGGAAACCCCAATGTTGCCTGTGGCGCCAACGACGAGTACGCGCTCCATTGTTGGGAAAGGGAAAGGAAAAGGAAAAGGCTCAAGGTTGTGCTAGTCTCACCACAACGTTCTCTCTTCTCTGTCTGTCCCTTTTCATGTATATTATCTGTTTCCTTTCGTTGAGTACTAGCATTGGTGAGCATTTATATATGTATAGTAAATGTACACAGAGCCCGGAATAGGATCTCCGTACACCGGCGCCTTTCGGCATGATGTGGCTCCGCATTTCAATATTCTTAGTAAGCCTTTATGGACCGGCATCAGCTAGGGCCGTTCCCGATCGCCCCTCCCTATGAATGACTTTTGGCAATTGCTACGCCGCTCAGCGGAGGGGATGGATTGTTCGGCTCTAGGTTTCCTTCTTGGTGAGGCTTGTCTACCTAGACAATATTTCGCAACGACCTTACACATGCTATTTCAAGTACAATTGAACGGTGGAATTGAGCAAGACTGCTGAGCGAAATAGCAGTAACCTTAGAATTGGGTATCTAATGTCTACTCTTTTCAACATGTCGCCTACTGCTGCGTCTGATCGGGTACTTAGGTAGGTCACCTCGGACTCCTATCACGTCCACAACGAGTATGAAGATGTCATACGGTAAACATAGCAAGCTATCAATTCTGAGATATCAGCATGAACCATGTTTGGCAATCCTCAAGTCGGGTCGATTGTGCCTCCTTCATTCCCACGGGTCGACGACCAATTTCACCCCGCTGACCCCCTTATGTAGCTTATCGAGGGCGTCGTTCACTCCCTTTGTTAGACCGCCACTGACTTTCTCCACGGGCTGTGGAAGGAGCCTTCCCTTTGCGAGAGCCTGTGGAAAATATGTCTCGTATGTCCACTTTTCCAGACCAGTCTTGTCTTCCTCTCGGAGGACCTCTGGCCACGACGCAAACTCGCGGATCACTCCTTCTGGCAGCGTTTCCGGACCGAAGGGAGGCAGTGTCGCATAGACTTTGCCACCACCTTGCGCGGCAACAACCTGCGCATTCATTGCGACTGTCTGAGGAAGGCTGATAGTGTCGACGACATAATCGTACGGGCCGCTCGCCTTGAGGTCCTTGACCAGAGCGCCCGGTTCTTGGGTATGGTCAATGACATGTACTGCGCCCAATTTGGAAACGAAGCTTTTATGCTTGGGAGATGTGGTGGTGACGACGTCGTACCCAGCCTGCGAGACCCATTGTACAGCAAGACTGCCGACGCTGGAGCTGCCGCCATAGATCAAAACTTTCTTGCCGACTGGGGCGGCTGTCCCATCCACCTTGGGTCTGTTCAGCCCCAAGCGTACCCCAAACAGTCCAACAATGGTGGTCAGGTTTGAGATCAAGGTGGCCGCATCCACGAGATCGACGCCAGCAGGAACCTTGCTGGCTGTGTCGTCTCCGGCTACGACATATCTCTGGTATGCACCATATTGGGGGCCGACTTGGCTAAACCGCTTCTGCACAGCTACCTTGTCACCAACTTCGAAGTTGGTGACCTCCGGTCCAGTCGCTTCGACTGTACCGCCATAGGATAGGCCAAGAATGGCCGGGTATGGGATGGGGATCAAAGCCAATTTGGCGATCTTGGCCTCAACCGGAATGAACGAGATTACTTCATTCTTGACCAGGAATTCATGTGGGCCGGGTGTGTAAACCTCGACTTCCTTGACCTCCAGTGGCGCTTTGGCAGCTGGAATGACCACGGCTATGTTCGACATGCTGGAGTTGGTATACAAACGAGAACGCCGAGGACTTTGAGAGGATGAGTTGGGTGGACAGTAGAATGGCGTGGATTGAGGTCGCAAAGAAACAATGGGGAACGCTCGAACAACTTGAATGGAAGATGGTCTTAGGTCTGTTCGCCGTATCATTTGTGTTCAGAGTTCAAAGGTTGGAACCGAGTGAGCAAGGCGAGTCGGGCACAAATATAAATATAACAAGAATGCCATCGGACTTTAGTTAAATTCCGATGATTGCGTGGGCCTACCACACGTCCACGGCACGACTTCGTCCCGGTGAACGGGAAGGAGGCTTCCATCCCGTAGGCCGAGAATCACCAGACTGTATCCATTGAAAGAGACCTGAGGCTACGTGACGGGTCGGGTCTGCTCGGATGGACATCTCTTCCTCCTACAAGTACCTAGAGATTCCTTTAGTGGCTGACAATTTCTGTTGTGCCGGTGCGACGGGAGGCATAAGCAAAATGTGTCCGGGGGTCAACCACGGGACATAATATAGACCTCAAACAATTTCTTGAGAGGCAGACCTCGTCCTTATCTGTGTCCTTGATCTCTTTGGGGGGAACCCATTACAGCGAAGGACTCGGAGCCATCGCCTCCGGTCGAAGTGGACACTGCTTCTTCGATCTTTTGTCCGAGCGTCTCAAAAGGCAGCCGGTGGATGAGTTATCGAACTGGGTCTGGGCCAAGTCCTGGACGCAGAGATGGGTGCGAACCTGGTAACGTGCAAGTTCTTAGCGGACATAGATCGACACAGCCTCCAAGTCTGCCAGAGATAAGACGGCAGTACAGTGATATCTAGATGGTAGGTATCTAGGTGGTGTGTTGTCGTGGAATTACAGCCAGTCCCGCCAAGGGCCTCGGTCTCGGATCAATCATTCTCCGAGTGCAAGACTGCGCTCGTGCTAGTACTAGTACGGAGTAGCAGAGATACCATTGTACCATTGAAACTTCATCCCACCAACCTGCCTCCCATTCCAATAGGTTTGACACTGTCGCTTCAATCGTACCTCAACGTCTCCTGCAGCCATCATGCCGGAGTCTAGGGGTAGCGGCGCGCCTGCTGCCGCCCGGCAGGAGCAAGGAGGAAAGGTGAGAACACAAAACCACAAAACATCCACGGTCATGTACTAATGGTTGTAGTCAATGATGCAGACAATTGTTCAGGGCATCGCCATCTTCATGGCCACCCAGTTTGTCGTCAACCAGTTCTTCGGTTCCAAGTCGTCATCTGGCGGCGGCGGCGTTGCTGCGCCAAAAGCGAGTATGAACTTCGACGAGCGAGCCGATACAACAGCTTTGACGAACTATTCCGCAATACCCTACAACATTGCTCCGATCTGGCCAGACGACAGTGTCATTGACCTTCAGGTATATGTCTTACCCCAACCAGAGCTTCCTCCGCTGTCATCGGTGCCGAAGGATGTCCTCGTTGTGGATGAAAAGGAGTTCAAGATGGGCAACTTCTCAGAAAACAGGGAAATTCATACCAACATTGCGATTCCAGACGAGGTGCAGCACAACGGGACTCTTTGGGCGCATTTCCTCGTGGGATTGACCGGTAGTGAACTGGACCCAACCGCAGCGGATTATGACCCGGCAAAGGCAACTCACTTCAAGAGACCGCTGAACCACTATCTGCCAAAGAAGAAGGTCCGCAAGCTGAAGAATTTACTGGACAAGAGCGACGACCCAGAACCAGAACCGGAAGAACCTCAGGGGATCCAGATTGGCTCGTTCTACCATCCTAACTTCACCGTGGCTGTCGTACCTGGCACGGGAGTGCAGAATTGGCGCCAGCTGCATCCGGCCATGCGCAAAAACATTGTCCTTGAACCGACGGGCGCTCGTGACGCTTCGGGCATGAATGGATGGTACTATCCTGTGATATTCCTGAACACTTTCTGGCAGTTGAGGTCACACATGACCGAGCTCAACGACACGGTGAAGGAAGTGCCGCTGAACATCGGCCTCTATAACTTGGCCGGTTGGAAGTACTCTATTCTTGCCAGTGTCGATGACGGCATGAAACAGACCCAGCAACAAGCGGGACAAGGAGGACCAATGGCCGGCAGTGGCGATGGAAGCGAGTTTGAGAAGCTCAAAGAAGTTCTTCTCGACACCAATGCGTACCTTCTCGGGACGACGTTTGCCGTCAGTATTCTGCATATGGTTTTCGAGGGACTGGCATTCAAGAACGACATCTCGCACTGGAGGAAGAAGAAAGACAACGTGGGGACGTCGGTTCGCACAATTCTCGCCAATGTCTTCATGCAGACGGTGATCTTCTTGTACCTGGTGGACAACTCTGATGGTACATCGTGGATGATCCTGGCCAGTCAAGGGTTCGGCATTGTCTTGGAAGCGTGGAAGATCACCAAAATGGTCAACGTGCGACTCCGTGAGCCTGGACCGGACTCGCGGTTCAAATTCCTGCCTTACGTGGTTGTGTTCGAGGACAAGCACAAGTTGACCAAGAAAGAAAAGCAGACCCAAGAGTATGACCAGATCGCCTTCCGTTATTTGTACATCATCGCCGTGCCACTGCTGCTCGCGTATGCGGCGTACTCACTGGTCTACGAGCCGCACAAGTCCTGGTACAGCTTTGTGATCGAGACGCTGGTGGGGTCCGTTTACGCCTACGGATTTCTGATGATGGTCCCCAGCTTGTACATCAACTACCGCTTGAAGTCGGTTGCGCACATGCCCAGTCGGACGCTGTTCTACAAGTTCCTCAACACCTTCATTGACGACCTGTTCGCGTTCACCATCCGCATGCCCTTCCTGCATCGATTGGCGACCCTGCGTGACGATGTCATTTTCTTCGTCTGGCTCTACCAGAAGTGGGCGTACAAGGTGGACTACACGCGCGTCAACGAGTTTGGCCAGGGAGGCGACGAAACGGATGAAGATGAGGAGGAAGATGAGGGCGAGACCAAGGATGGAGGGTCGACCTCAGACAAGAAAGCCCTGAACGGCCAGGACACCAAACAGCTCAAGCCCACAGTTCCTGTCGCTAGCGCTAGCGGGGCAGAGACCAAAACCAGAGCAACGAAAAGGAAGTAAGACGGATACTGCCGTTTCAATGTCGATGCTTACGTCGCTCGTCTCTCCTTCGGACCTTGGCTTGCGCGTCAGTGAGTCGTCTGATCGAACGGAGTCGAACGAAGTGCTTGAAGTCGAATTATGAAAGCTCTGCAAATAAACAGAGCCAAAGTCCCTGGGTCAAAGCCTACGAAGGGCAAGAGGGAAGGGTGCTGAGTTACTAACGACCAATCAGCGATAAATGGAGGGTCTGATCAAACTCGGAACCGCTATATATATGCTCAGAAAAAGCCAGAATTCTCCGCCTGGTATTGCATGAGGTAGGATCATGGATCAAACTTTGGTCCGGACTTCCGGGTCTGTTCGTTATGGTCTATGTCCAATACACTCAATCAATCCAATCACTCGGCCTCCTAAGTCGGATATTTCTTGTTTTTTTCTTCTTGTGCTCTCTATTCCTTGGTCGCCCTATTTATCCGATGGCCCATAAAACAGGTCGGGGCGGGACTGTGCTATCTCATTGCCCGACTATATCCCACGAATGAGCTGACTACATAATCATCCTTCCGGCCCATTTGTGCTGCGGCGGATGCTTCTCTTGGCCAGACATTCGCCTCCTCGCGGCGCTGAACGCTTCCTTAGAGCTATCCGTACTGACTGAAGCAGGCACAAAGGCTCAACGACACATCGCATGGTGGATCGGTCTACCCCGGCGAACTCGACGATTCTTCTGCCAAGATACAGACCAAACGATGGTCGCAAGACCGTAACTTGCGTTACGTTTTGAGTCAAATCATCTTGCAGTCAATATTTGGGAGCAGAGAATCAAGTTCGTATGGTGAGCGAAAGGACCAGATGACCCATACGATCTCGAGTTAGAGAACATCGAACGAAAGGACTGATTCGTTCCATTCTCCCCCTACCACATCTGCCCTACCAACCCAGGTCCGAGATACTTTGTCTTCTCTTCCTCAGTCTGTCTGAAGTTTGAACAAACGGGCCTAACGAGTTGGCACTGTTCCATCAGGGGCCGCACACAGCAGACAACATCGACCTGCATAATCGGCTGCGAAGGCTGAGAAGGTCGTTCGGCCTCTCGTAAAGGGAAGGAGACCAGCGCCAGAGGGTGGGAAGTTCGCGAGTGGTGTTGAACCGTGGTCGTGGTCGTGGTCGTGGTCGTGGTCGTGGTCGTGGTCGTGTGAGTGATTTCAGGTCCCAATGAGAAACCCGATCGGATTCCTGGTTTTCCTGGCTGCTCTGGGTGTCGTGTTCCGGTCAGGACTCAGGGGGATCCGTTTTGCTTGCCTTTGAACCCTGAAATTGGACACACTGCCACTCTACAACTCCAACCAACTTGGCCGAGCGTCTGCATGCGAGTCAAGACAGACATCTCGGCAGTGTCGGACACTCGGGGCCTGCTTTCGTGAGACTGGTGTCGATTGGAGGTATACACTTATTCACTTACTCCCTTCCCCCACGCATGCCCGTCCGGTACGAGCGAGCCATACTGTACCTCAAGAGTCAAAAGGCCCCTTTTGTCTTTTGTCTTCTGTCTTTTTGTCTCCAACAGCCGGCATATCTCGTTCTTTAGCTTGAGATTGACACCTTTCCCGGTAGCACCGCTTGAATTCGAGTTCGACAGACCACTGGGTATCGTATCCCAGGGTGCTTGACTCATCGAGGTAGGGGCTGGGCTGCATTTCAATCGCCTTGTTTGTCACTTTAGGGACTAGTAGCTGGTAGCTACGATGTCTTGAGTCCACGCTACAGCAGTGCAGCCCATGATATGGCGCCTTAGCCTACATAACTTCCAGTCAGTGCACGTCTTTTTGCGAGGAGAGGAAAGGAAAGCCCGGGTCTACGATCACTGCTGGATTTCGTTGGCTGTGTTCTCGCGCACACCGAGGAAGAGAAGACATTCGTTGCTCGATACTCAATAGAAGTCACGGCCAGCAGTCGAGTCTTCGACCGGTTTCTGATTCGACAGCTGTATTGCTGGTATTCCACGATCTCTCACCGGTTCTGTAATAGCGATGAGACGGAGACGAAGACTCTAAGATGCCGCGCAGATGTGGGTGAGAAGTGGAAATGGAAACGCAAATGGAAATGGACGTTCAAGAAGAAGTTCAGATATCATCCAACATGGGTCAAGGTCATGTCTGATTGGCTTTCATTTTGATAGACGAATCATGTTGACGAGGTTGGTCTTTACCGGTTGGCACTACTACGTGACTACATACCCAGCAAGCAGTACCTACGTACTTCCTACTACGACTTACAATCTACCTACCTAGTTCCCAAGTCCAGTCTACCCCAAATATCCTACATCTGGGTGGAATCACCAACAATGATCAGCCCTGAATACACATGCTATCCGTCCAGGTTCCCTTATCCCGTTCGCCTCGTCGGTCTACAGAGACAGAGATACCAGGACCAGCGATCAAATGACAAAGAGTGCCATTGGCCTTGTCGGTCCACAGAGATGCCAGGACCAGCGATCAAACTATGAAGAAATTTCTCGTATTCCCCTTCCCTTCCCCCTTGCCCCTCCCTCGTCAAGCTAGTCGTCCTCCGCTTCCGTCTCCTCGTATTCATCATCCCCACCCCCGGCATGCGAACGAGGATTGAGGATTGACCGGGATCTAAAAGGAACGAGAGGCTCATCTCCCCTTCTGGCGGCCACGCACCCCTGCTATCGGGGCACATAACTCCTCGTTCGTATAGCGTGGATGGTACCATAGCTGTTAGTTGGAAAACTAACTAAACGAGGGTCCAAGGGACAACGGGGAGGAAATACGAGACCCAACTTAAACCCATATCTACGGATAGCACCAGGCGGAACCGTATGGTCTTCACTGTTGTTGAATGCAGCCAAGTACCATCGTACTAGACACCCTGCAAGGTTCTCCAAGAGGTACTTCGAGTGGCTTTCCGTCGAAGCTTTGTTGGTCATCTTGCTCCCGCCGGCGTGGTAACCCCTATACGAGCTGTCCATTCAAATTTCAGCTTCCACGGAACATTTCTCACTTGTGGAGAAATGCGGTTTGAGTACCTCCTTGGTTGAGAACCTACCTAACTTGTCACCTCCAATTCCTTGAAGCTTTGACATACACCACTGTGATCAGACAGGGAACACATTGATAGTAGCAAGATGTCTCGATCAGCCAAGACAGGGATATCCATGGCCTGGATACTCTGAGACAACGGAGTGTATGATGCGGTGGACAGGGCACTGCCGACGCGAAATCGGCAGAGGGACATGCGAGCTTGCAGAAAGAGATTGAAATCAAGTAGTATTTAGAATATTATATGCATAAGCAGGGAGAGGGTTTGTGTCTCGTACACAGTAACAGGCGATCCTTTTAGTCTTGAAATATAGGCATAACTCCTTGAGCGTTTTGGAGATTTGATCTGTGAGGTCAGCAGCGACCATCGGGTCTGGAGAGAGGTCATATTTGCTGACATGCTCCATTGTAATGCTGCGCTCCAGGTAGTTTCAAGCCTCGCGACGGTGTTAGAAGAGATGCAGGGACAGGGAAAGCAAAAGGAGCGGCTTTCATGGTTGCAAAGTAGCGAGAAGCGATACAGCTGAGTAGGTCTCCACGTAGACGTAGATCAGGCTTGTCCGTATAACCTGTGCAAGAAGTAGAAGAAACAGCAATAGGTGACTGTACTCACTGCGGGGCGTCGAGGCTTTCCAAAAGAAAGTCTGCATCGTCTGTCGTTCAAAGCATCCAAAGTAAAGACGGGATTTTGGAGGCAAGCAGGCGTTGAGACGAGTGGCTGTGAGAGGGAGTGGAGCCAGCACCGTCGCCGCCAAGGCATAATCAAGGTATGAGCCCTGACACCTGGTATCTGGTCTCATGACCTACGACACAGCCGTCGAGGCGTTGACCCTTAGTTCCTAGTCCAATGTGACCCGACCATTCGCGGAGCTTGAATTGTTGGTTGATGGGAAGGGGAACCGGTATTGACGCAGTGATCATTCGAGGTAGGCCATTAGTCAAGTCAATGCAGTATTCCAACCTCACCATTCCAGGCCTGTTTGTTGTTGCGTGTCAACAAAGGGACTATCAGCACATAAGGTACAGCGCTCCCCATCCCCAGATGCCGCCCATGCGCAAGGGGAAGGGAGTGGAGTCAAGTTGGAGTATATAGATCTGCTTTTCTCAATTGAAATCACCCCGGAAGTGCTGTCGTTCATGCGTGCCGAATGAAGAAGAGTGCAAAGATGCAGCACGATACCCCTGTTGGTCCTGTCGGGATCGCCGATGGAGAAGGTTTATTCTCCCTGGCTAAGCAACGCACTTGACAGCTGTTTGCCATCAGACAGTGGACTCGGGCAGAAAGGCGTGGTGCTCTGCTGCTTAGCCACCGTGTTCGCCTTGTCTGCCTTTTCCACCAGCTGCAGAAACTTCCAGTGAGGCAACATATTGCAAATTGTAGAGAATATCAATCTCCTATGGTTGAGAGTGGAACAGCTGTAGTATGGAAGGACCATAAGAGATGCGAAGACGTCACACTGGCAAGGATTAGTCGATGAGGCTCCCGAACTGCCACGTGGAATGCTGCAGACCGACAGGGATCTGATGCATCGCGTAGGCATACTTAGTGCGCTGACGGGCGTCCCATTGAGACTGATTGCCAGACTAACAGGCCCGTACTCGGTGCGCAGGTGAATGGAAAGGCAGGGAATGGGAGGGGTGGAAGTACCTAGATTAGACGCTCAATCATCAGTGGTCCGGTCGTATGCTTGCCAAGATTGAAGTGATGAAAGGCGGAGGATCACTTACCATTGCAATTGGGAAGGTCTTGCTCTGGCAGGGAAGATGATGATGTTGGTGAAGCCTCTCCAGGACCCGTACGACACCCACCACGTCGATGGAGCTGGGAAGGATCAACGAAGGCAGGAGGTGATGATGAAGGAGACGGGAGAGGTCCAGAAAAGGTTCCGATAACGTTATCAGGAGGATAGTGGCTAAAAACAGCGGCAGTGACTGCTTTAGCTGTACTAGCTCAATACTGGTATTGTATTGTCCCGTACCCTCTCTGGAGGAGATCTTGCACGTAGCACATAAGGTAGTCGAGTTCGAGTACAGAACCCAGTCTTGATTCAGATTGATAGGCGCGATCTCTCCAGGAAGTGACGGTATAAAATACAACTTTACAAGTCCATCATGGAATCCACCATGCTTTGGAATAAAACGTGACAACTCAACATGGCCATAATTTGCATGCCAGGTGAACTTGCAGCCATAGTGACCAACCCACCATTGGTAGAGTCGTACCCTCTCCCAGAGCCCGTCTCCCGGTCATGGAACTCCCAGTCCCACTCCACTCACGCGTGTATCATCATCTGCACAGTAGGAAGGTAACACCGCTCTAGACCCCGTACTGCCTGACACAACAAGCGCACTTCAACTCTTCTCTCTTGCCGAGTGACTCCTTCCCCAGTGATGTTCAACCAGGCACTACCACAAGGTCAGTCAGTATGAGATCTAACAAGCAGTGACACTGATACCCACCTAGAACAACATGTCTAGTCATTAGCGAGGTGGACGCCGGTCTTCATTTCGTGATGGGCTCCTCGGCCTGAGGTGGACCTCTCGACAACTCGGACATTTTCTCCCGCCGCACTTGGGACAGTCAGCGTGAATGGCAAGCGGATTGGCCTCGTTGCACTGGCAGCATAGCCAGGCATTGACAGGGCCAACTCTCTTCTTCTTTTCCGGCATTCCGTAGGAGATATGGTCAGTCTGTTGACAGCCAAATGTGATTTCAAGTAATATCAGAAGCCCACAACGAGTTTTTGAGTTCTGCTGAAGGAATGTGATCGGATATGGGAACGAAAAGGGGTGGGAGTGCGTTTAAATCATTTTTTCGGAGCCATGGGTCTGCCGTTGGACTGGATTCCCTCATTCACACGGTCCGCCTTCGTGCAGAGACTTGCAAACCATAGCCCACCTAGAATCCGCCTGATTGTCTGATTCGAAGGACCACAAACCTGATTTGGTACCAACTTACCCAGTGGTACTGTAGGAAAGCTTTCGGGGTACTTTTGATAACGCCCAATTGGCAGGTAGAGGGGAATCAGCGCGCGAGACGCGACCGTCATCATGCCAAAGAGAAGCCCGCTGCCAAAAGGTCAAGTCCTCCACAGGGCAACCATCGGATGCATGAAGGTATTTTTGAGTCGTGATATCTGGCCAACGAGTTGCCACCTTGACATGTGGACCCACACGCAAGAAATCATTGTTCACTGCTTGTCAACATATGACAATTCATCCTCTTGCTTACTGTGGCTTGGACAATCTCTAACTCGGCGGCGGACGACCCAAGGCGAACTCGGATTCTAGGACACTGTTTCCGATGTTGTCGTCCGTATAGCTTCCTCATTCTTCCTTTCTGTCGCCACCATGGTGAACATTCAGTAGTGGTTGCCTCATCTTAGGCTCTGCACAAGCCCCGCAAGGCGAAGGTGAAGCGCTGAATATTTCAGAGTTCTTTTGCCCGGTCTAGAGATATCTTTGATGTCTCAAACTAAATCAGATCGCAGCGTATTTGACTCACCCGGCTGATGATTGGCCATGGAATGAATATTGGTGGATTTTGATTGGCCTAATACAAAAATCCGATATACCAGGCAGCATATCTTCCAGTGGGCTTCAGCGCCAATGGAGGCCAAGGCCACAATTGGCAGCGAACAAAGGTACCTGTGTTCTGTGGGCCTTGTAGCCAACCCCTGGAGCCCCCACCGACCGCCCATTTATCAGGCTTGCAGGACGTTGTCGACTTCGGATGTCACGAATCGGTCCTTTTGCTCCCAGGGCTGCAGGAGAGAAGGAACTCAAGCACAGAATAGCCTTTCACTCCGAGGAATCTGGTCAATTGTTCCTCGAGTGCACGTTGACAGGACACACGAATCTGCCCTGCGTATTACGACAGGGCCTAGTGATCCTGCAACGCCGATTCACCCGGGAACGGTGACAGCGATCATTGATGAGATGATTGGATGAGCAAGCACAGCATCGCGTTATGTTTGAATACCTAGGTACTGATGGGTGATAAGAGTAGGAGAGAGAGGTTGCCTCGTTCAGGGTTGATTCAGGCAGTGATTTTGAAGCGTGGAGGTCAAAACAAAAGATCCTCTCTCCCCAAGGCTTGGCAGGTCCCGTAGACAAAACTCCCCCACGGCAGGCATTCTCCCCTTTTTGTTGGTCCTACTGCCAGTGTGATACCTGCTACAAAGATCCCTGACCATCGTCACAAAAGACTTTCACAAGATTCGGCACATGTCATCTTGCATTGCTACACGCATATCCTGTTGTGTACATGTAGCACTTACTACAGGTGACTTTGGCACTTGGCACAAAGCAGAATCCACATATCCGCCTGTGTTTCATTCTTCCTGCAAGGCTGAGAACCTGGAAGATGACACTGGCCTCTGTGGTCTCACTCAACAGATGCTCAATTATTCCGTTTCACAGGATGCGACGCTGATAGTATACAAGGTAATTGCCTCAAATGAGATTCTGCCTTGGGCCTCAGAGTGTAGCATAGCCGCCCGAGACGGAAAATGCCTACAAGGCTTTACCACTAGCAAGTCAGGGTAATCATATCGGGTGGCGAAGCAGGACAGTCTTGCGTCTGATACTTACTGCAAAGTTTCTGGTGCATCGACACAGTAAGGTCCTCCGATATTTACCTCTCTCGACTGACTCTCTTCCGATCCCAACCAGGGGGGGTTGAGAGTCGAGCCAACAATCCTTCTTGGGGCTTTTGAATCCCACGGCAGATGCCGTATTGCCCCACGAGCAAAGAATGACGCTCTCTCTCTATTGCATCCATGGCCCTAGGACGTAGATATGTGATCTTGTGACCTTAGACCAAGGGTTGCCAGGAGTAGAGATTCTCGGGTGGAGTCAATACTCAGCCTTGTATGCCATGCCCATGCGCCCCGTTTCAGCTCCAGTTATAGCTTCGACTGATCATCATCATCAAACAGAGACCCTGTATCTGATGATCGTGTATGTCTACGTTTGTCAGCGGTGAGCGTGGGCTGCAGAGTCCTTGTAGAGTAGCATAACTCTCGCCAAGTATCCTACATCTGCATCGACTCGCCGCTCGAGGTGTCCAACGGGAGCCCAAGCTGTCAATCGAAACAGGTTTTGGACATCTTATATCATATAGTAGTAGCATGCTTCATTTCGGAAGTTTGCTAGTAGGGGTGTAGACCATATAATGTGGAACAATCTGGTCAAAGTAGTGGCAACCAGTGCCCTGGATACAATGAATCAACGCTAGCGGGACAAAAGAACGACAAACCCATCCGCAAACCCCATCGTCATACCTCGGCCTCTTGTAGACACCTAGCCATGCAAGAGCACGTGTGCTTGAAGTAGATCAGACCCCAAAGGCTCACTCGTCACACTCTTTGCCTCCCTCACTTCTTTACATTTTCGACCCTGCAGTAACCGCAACGCATTTTGTGGCAATTGGAGCAGTAGTCGTTGATCTTGACTTTCATCGGCCCATTCCCACAGTGATGGCAATACCACACTTGATAACTCGCGGTAGGGCAGACATGGAATGGGATGAAAGGGGTGGGAGTTGAACGCGGTGCGACCACTTGAGGCGTGTCCACTTCTTGATGAGCTCTTTCTTCTGCCGGATGTCTGTCTGGGACCTCTAAGGCCGAGATATGGTGCCCAAGCTGTCCATAGTATGTATCAGAGGTTTGTTTGATGCTACCACACGTCAGCTCAGGAGCGAGACAGATCTTAAACCGCGTAAACTCACCACATGGCGCCGGTTGTACTTTGTCTCTTAGTTCTGCAGGATCAATGATGAAGATGATAGTTGAGAATCGAAGATAGTATAGGAAGGATGGAGTCTGGAATTAGGGGATGACCGGCATTTTATCTCACAAAAAGTCTCAACAGTAACTCGAAATTGTTCGTAAATCTTGGGCGCTCATATGAGCCTTCTGAGGCAGTGCGCCGAAGCACGAGAACAAGTCAGTACTCACGCAGATTCGACATTTTCACGGCTTTGATCTCATCCAGTATGAGGTGTTTCCCATTGCATCTATCCACTGGAGTTTCATCATTCCCATGGACATGGGTGGCGGAGGGACATCCACAGAGTAATGAAAACAATGCAACAAATCTCAAGGTGGATCCACAACAGGTCACAGGTCATTTCTCAGACGCAAGTTGTTGACATGAGCGTGCTTGCTGTATCATGAGTATCACTGCTTGGAGCTGCGGATCCTTGGGTGTGTTGGAGCGCAGCGTGAAGCATTCCATTTGCCGCGCCTGCCCTCGCCTCGATAACAAGGACTACGTGAGATTTGTGGCGTAGGCTCCTGGAAGGGGTGTTGTTTCGCCGCCGCGGCCAACAGTTGCTGGTTCAGAGCATGACAGAGAGAAGTGGTGACGATGTCTGCGGCCAACTGTGTTTGCCTTGTAGGGCCGCAGAGGCAACCTTCCTTGTCCGTCTCATCACAGAAACAATCGATGTTGGTCATATTCCACAAACACTGCCCATTTGTATCGTTCGAGGCAGCACTCCTCGTAATTGGGCGTACTGGATTTCAAGGTGAAGCATTGTCCTGCCAATCGTACAGATCTGAAGTAGACTCAGTATGATCAAGGCGACGATAGAGCTAAGGGACGAAAAGGTGCTCTCAGCGCCTGTCTCGGAGAGCATTGTCTAAGCCTCGCAGTGGCAAGTGTCTACCTCGGAGGCGGACCGTCATTCAACGGCAATCCTGAACGTGCGTAGAAGCCACGATCTGAGGCCCACCGAGACTGAGGCGCATTTGCGAAACAGTAAACGAGCTTCAAGTCAGAAGCACGCAGTTATGGGTGATGTACTTCTCTGCTTCTTCCCAGGGAACTTACCAAGCTTAGACCGGCGTCTAAAAGCCTCGTACGGGCGCGAAGTGGTAAAGCATCATGTCCTCGGTATGGGAGGTTTCTACAAAGATTCTTGTCGTTGAAACTGAGAAGACCCGCTGACGTGATAGCGCCAAGACCAAACACCTGCCGCCCTAAGTGCGGTCGTCCAACATCAGCCTCGCAGTGCCGCAGCCTCATCGCCCAGTCCCACGGCCATCATTGGTGATTTTCCAGTCTGTTCGATATTGAGAAACGCAACCAATGCGCTATGATTAACACTCCCGGTGGAAGTCCCGGTAGCTAACTGTTTGGCAGGCGTTGGAGAGATCTAGGCGACATAGCAGCCGCACCCTGCACCAATCGCAGACTGCCTCATTCCGCTCGAGCCTCACGCTTCCTCCACACTCTTTGGCACCCCGGCGAGGGAGTTCATGGTACCGTATGCAGAATTTTGCTCTGCGCGGTATACCTGCGCTGGAAAGAGATATAATGACTACGGAGAGGTTGCGATCATGTCCATCCTTGAACCCTGGGTGTCGCTCAAGACCAAATCAAGATGGCTCGTCTATGTTATTGCGAAGATGTTCTAGGTAAATGTACCGCGTCGACAAATACGATGCCGTCTCAAGAGAATAGGTCCAGTTGCTTGATATTGGAAGGAATGACTGTATCATTCAACACGTCGCCAAGAATCAAGTGTTCATTTTCGCTCCCATACTTCTCCCTTCGTGTGGAGGTCGAGACAAGCATCTCGAACACATGGCCAAGCCGGGCGCACAAGGACTAGGTCTCTGGTCATTATCAGTCATTCCGCTTGCGGAGAACCGTGATCTGCTACCCATGAACCGACGAATCTCAATCATTCAACAGTCTTGGATGAATTGCCCGCTGCCAAGTGCTAAGGGAGAGCATAGACATGCCTCCACCAGCACTGTGCACAAATGAGCGGCAATAACAGGTATGTGAGTGTAACCCTTTTTTGTGACGGCGGGCTGCATCCATGATTGCAGGATCTGAAACAATCCTGGTCTCATTCTGCATGGTGTATAGTAGACCCTGTCAGCACACGAGACCGGTTCCTGGGGATTACTTGCACTACAGCATCTTCTGATTGGAGAACTTGATAAAGGCCTACTTACCACGGCAGATCATATCCTTGGCTGCTAGGATCTTGCTGTTGGGCCCGTCAGGATCTATCAGTCCCCCGAGCCGGCCATGGCAGATGTTCCCCACGTCAGCTTATTAGTGCCTATGAATGCCAAAACCTGGAGCGGTGCTGCTTACCCCCTGAATCTCCATTGCCGTCTGGCCCCAACCCAACGAGACAATCCAAATCATGTCCATGCGTGCAATTGGCAATCATTCTTTCTGCACGCAAGCACTGGTAGGACAATACGTGACCTGTCATTCCTATCACCCTTCATCAATCTCCCTTTCCTGGATCGATTTTGCAACCCATCTGTCGATAACGTCCCGCCACTGTGCCTCTTAAGAGGGAATCCCCTGTTGATATTGCAACGTCTCATACATATAAGTGAAGACCAGCGGTCTTCAGTGAGCGCTGCCGGGAGCCTTCGAGTTCCAGCAAACGTATTACCAGAGTTTGAAATAATACTATACTAGTATTGAGTTGTGAGTCCTGCTCGGTCGGCCATCGTCTCTCTGTCCTGTATTCTTTTGTCTCCGTCCAATCCCGGGAGGCCGACTGGCACTTCATAAGCTTGTGAAGCCAGGCCCGGTACAGCCATGGTCTGCTACTCACAACTAGTTTCGACGCGACGAAGTATGTCCAATAGTATGAGCTGCCGTTGTATCCTACAAGGCTGAAACATTCAGCCTTGTAGTACGGACAATCAAAACACTTTGTAGCGCATTCGTGTGGGGACGGGACAAGCTACACTCGGCCGGTTTGGCTGCGCTTTTCTTTCTCTGCAGCATCAGACTGTGATATTCGCAGGTGCTGTCTTGCATGGGTGTGCGTCAATTGCATAGGGCAGGTATCTCCTTATGGAGTTATCAGGCGCCGGCCAGGCTCTGGTCGAGCTCTGCGCTCCGACTCTCCGGGCATAACAGATGGTCCAAGATTAAACACGACAAGGGAAAAGCCGATGCTGCGAAAAGCAAAGCGAAAACGATGTTGTCTCATGAGGTGATCACTGCCTCTAGACGTATGGCCCCCCAAGACCAAAAACAGCTTCTGGATGAACACCGCGAATGACTGACGTGTGCACAGTTGGCGGCCCGGATCCCGCCTTCAACTCGAGACTGGCTTCCGCAATCGCCAATGCGAAAAAGGGTCAGCTTTCCAAGGCCTCGATCGAACACGCCATCGCAAGGGGCCAGGGGAAGTCTCCAAGCGGGCTGGCTCTCGAAACCGTCATGATCGAATGCATGCTGCCGCATGGAGTCGCAGCCATGATTGAATGCCAGACGGATAATAGGAAGAGGACAATCTCAGACCTCCGTAATATAATCAACAAAGCAGGTGGTACGACTACTCCTACGGCATTCTTGTTTGAAAAGAAAGGCAGGATCTTGTTCGAAGAGCAGGGCAAACTCGGGGTGGATGATATCTTGGAGGAAGCCATTGATGCTGGTGCTCTTGACATTTCCTTCGAGGACAACAGACTGTCTGTGGAGACCGCGCCTGCCGATGTAATGGATGTTGCACGGAGACTTCAAGATCAGTTTGGTCTACGAGCAGAAAAGGCGGAAGTCGTATACGTTCCCAACGAAGACTCCCTGGTGAAATTAACACCGGAACAAGAAGAGGAGCTGGATCGCATCTTGGACTCGATAGAAGAGGATACGAGTGTCCAAGAGCTGTACATCAATGCAGTGTCATAATGATACAAGATTATGCACAGATCCTGCTCCACGTAGTCCGACCTGCCTGTCCCTATGTCCTTTAGTATTCTCACATGCTTCTATCCCATCCTCTTCAATCGTAAACACGGGAATCGAGACTGCGGATATTTTACGGTGGAGCAAATTATACGGCGGAGCATGCAACCGCCAAGAACAATCAACACCTGTTCTCGCAACAGATGAACAGACCAAAGAATGGTCGCCTCCAGAGATTGTCTCTGATTATGGACTGACAGACTAAACACGTGCTCGACCACACTTGAGCTGGCTCAATCACTGACGGCAGGAAACCCTCCATGTTGCGCATCGCTGGCAGCACACCAATATGGAGCCCGGAGGCACAATCGCAACATGGCAACAGGCCTTTGAAGAGTATCGCATTCCCGCAACTCGGGCGATCGAGAAACAATTGCGCGCAAGCGTGACGCGCGATAAAGAGAAGTTACGCGCACTTGTCGGGTAGGTCAACTCTTCTTCCGGGTTGCAGCCCCTTTTCCCATGATGACCTGGCAATGCCAGCTGAGAGACTTGGTCACGTGAGCTCTTCGCGCTGACGGTGTTCACAGGGGGAGCTATCGCGAGTTACTGGCCACAGCGGAAGCAATCGTGGCCTTGGACGCGAAAACAAAGGCAGCGGAGGAACACATTTCGACCATCAGTCATAATTGTCGCCCGCCGCCACATGACTTGTCTGCTCGACCTCCTTCCTCCAACAAGGCCGCACTAGCCCAACTACGACTGTTACAGCGATGTTGCACGACATCGGCAACAGCCTTGCGGGCCCAGAATATTTTGCAATGTGCCCAGTTGATTGTTATTTCTCGCTTGCTGTTGAAGTCCTTGGGGGATCAGCAGGGACTGGCGCGGAGCCTAGAGATCTTGACAAACAAAATCAGCCTACTACGACGCCGACTTCTTCGACAGGTGGATGCTAAACTACTGAACCCTCTCTCTACACGCTCGGATGTTCTCGACTCTCTCTGTTCTTATTGTCTGGTCACTAGTGTCTCCTCGGAAGATGCCCTGGCATATTTCCGCCAGCTCAGACTCGACAAGATCCGGCGACAGTTGACGAAGTCTGGTGATCGATATACGATTTGCGACGCTCTTCGATATCAGATAGAGTCTTTGCAGACATTCAAGTCCTTGACAGGACGCCCTATCGCCGACGCAATGAACAATCTCCAGAGAAGACCGATTTTGGCGGATGCCACCATCAAAGAACTCGAGCTGTTAGACCTCGACACCGTTTGGTCACTACTACCCGTTGAGATTCATACTTTTGTCCCTTACTTCAAACGAATTACTTTGTCTCCGGAAGAGATGCGATCTAGATTGGAGGCATGGTCTGTCGAAGCATCCCGAGTGCTGTCCGCCGCACTAGACAGTCACCTCTCGAACATGACTAATGTCACAGACGTCTTAGAATTCAGGAAAGAACTCTATACGATTCTACTGCCTTCATACTTCTCTGTTCCTGCAAGTGCAGACATTGCAGCACAGATCAGACACTGCCTCAATCAACGGTTAACCGCCATATGTCAGACGCAAGGCTCACGGCTGAATGATATTACGAAATTATTGCTGGAAGGAACAAATGCAGAAGACTCCGCCAAGTCATTATGGGATGCTGATTTGGCTCAAGCAAGCTTGAGCAATGGAGGTTCCAGATTCATCAAGCAGGTCAAAAATCGACATGCCGGCCTCAATCGAGTGTTGTCGAAGGCTGCACGGATGCTGGACGCATGGATATTGTCTGTTAACGCCACTCAAAATCAAATCGATGAACTGCCGAAGATACGTTGGCGGGACATCGTGGAAGAGCCGGAGGAAGAACAAGAAGATGATGCTTCAAGGCTGATCAGAGGCCTTTCCGAAACGGACAGGGAGGCCTATAGCAGGGAGCTGCAAGAAGCACTGCGCGTATCTTTGTCGGAATATGAGAAGAGCATGGTGGAGGCTGCATCCCTGATAGCTGATGATGCGTCCAGTGTTTACAGAGCCGTGACACTCCTACGCTCGATACGAACATCCCTTGTGGCATTACAACGAGCCTTTCCGGATGACACACGTTTCGACGATCTAGACGCCATTGTGCCAAAGTTACATGAGGTTGTCGCCAACGAGATTGCTCGCCAACTGTCTCAATCGACTCGACAGGGCAGAAAGTCGGACAAATTGATCGAGGCTGCATTGCCGGAAAAGATGCCTTCCCCTGCAGCTTTTTCAACATTACGACGACTATGCCAGATCATGCTTGACATTGGTGGTACCGACCTATGGTCTCCTCCTGCTGTGCACGCCATGAAGAAGGCTATTCGCCACCAGGTCTCTGATGCTGGACAGAAATCGAACTACGCCAGAAACGAGTTTGATGAAGCCTATCTAGGCGCTGCACTAGGACATGTCCTCCCGGAACATTCTTCGAAAGACGCAGGTTCTGATATGACTGCCCGAGCCGCGGCCGAGTATTGGAAAAGGACAAAGTCGTTGTTCGGCGTGCTTGGCTAGGCATCACTCCAAATGATGTGACGATAGTTGGACCTCACGAGTCAATACTTGTGGTTTGGTATAGTGATAGTGTTGAATACACTTTCCGAGGTCGGAGACACTAGGGGCTTACCCGATTTCAAATTGAGATCGAGCCTTGAACCGGTGCGCTACTCGTAGCACGTAGTAGTTGCTACGTACTTACAGCCGGAGGTATTATTTACAGTACCTAGACACCCTGCTACTACGTACCAGTATAATAGTACGCGGTTCAATAGGCTTCAAGGTTAAGGTAGATTAAGCCTGATAAGCTTAAACAACCTTAAAAATAAGCTTAACAAGAGGACCATACACGGATAAGTGCAGTGAGTCTCCCCGTCTTCCACCTCCTGTTTCTATCTCCTGAGAACTCCCAGTCAATCACCCACTGTATTAGGTGATCTCATGGCCTACCGACAGCTCGCCATACAATATTACAAGATATAATTCCAGCATTATAGGGTGGTCTTCCCATTTGTTGGCTTTCTCTAAGTCCGTCCATACATTCCCCTTATTCCCCTTATACGGTCGGCCGGTCGGTCTCTTGACGCTTCAGCTGATCCAGGCCATTTCTCGCCGCCAAACTTCCTCTCGCACCGAGCACTGATTCAATGACTGCGTCTAATATACTGATAGAGCTTTCCCTTTCTTCTACCAGCATGATATGAATCCGGGTGTTCTCTTACATCATCTTATCGCTAGCTGTGTGCGTGTCTCGTCTCGGATGTCTCTGGGGCACGAAGCATCGAGGTGTACCTAGATGTTCACCACATAGCTCTCGGCAAGATGTTGCCTGTGGAACTGCAGCCGATGTTATCGGGAAGCTCACGAAATGCAACAAGAGTCGAAGAGACGCCATCCATCCTGCCCGTCGAAAATCACGAGCTCTGGGTTGGTCAGAACTACGATCCTACCACTGCACTCTTATCAGGTTTTACCAAGGAGGCAACACAACCGGCAAACCTCCCTGAGGGTTCGGCCGTGGCTGGCAAGTCATTGAGACAGCACAAGGCGCAACCGCTAATGCGGCTATCAGAGATCAAACCCAATGTCCTCACGGACATGATTGATGATCATCTCAGGCCTACGGAGGAGGAGCTCAAGACTCTCCCTCGAGTTGCTGACGAGATTCCATGGCGGGTGTACACTGTTGCTTTTGTGGAACTTTGCGAACGCTTCTCCTACTACGGCACTCAGATCTTGTTCCAGAACTTCATCCAGCGAAGACTCCTGACACCGACCGGCCGGGCTCCCAACCCTGGCGGTGACACAGACAACAATCCCGGGGCTTTGGGTCAAGGGCAGCAAATCGCCACGTCGCTCGGCACTTTCTTCTCCTTCTGGTGCTACGCACTCCCGCTTCTGGGAGCGTGGATGGCCGATACATATCTTGGAAGGTCAGTGGGGGATAATGCTGGATTTGGTCCGTCCTCAATCTGACGCCGGTCTACCAGATACAAGACGATCATGATTTCCATCGCCTGTGCCATAGTCGGCCACGTTATTCTGACAGTGAGCGCCGCGCCATCTGTCCTGGAGAACACCCACGGTGCACTGATCGCCTTCATCGTGGCCATCATCATCTTCGGCCTGGGAACTGGTGGGTTCAAACCTAATATCTCGCCACTCATCGCGGAGCAGATCGTTGGAGAGCACCTGCGAGTTTCGACGAACAAACGGGGCGAGCGGGTCATCGTCGACCCTGCCCAGACGTCCGCTCGCATCTACAACTGGTTCTATCTCTTCATCAACATTGGCGCGCTCACGGGCCAGCTATCCATGTCATATGCAGCCCTCTACGTGGGCTACTATCTCGCATTTCTGTTACCGACCTTGATGTTCCTGCTCTGTCCTATCGTTCTTATCGCTTTCAAGAAGAACTATCGACTCACTGCGCCGCAGGGCTCTGTCCTGGGCCCTGCGATCAAGTTACTCTGGCACGCCACCAAGGGCCGGTGGTCTCTGAACCCGGTGCGCACCGTCAAGAACTTGCGCCGCGCCTCCTTCTGGGACGACGTGAAGCCGTCGCACATCCCACCAAGCCGGCGTCCCGAATGGATGACCTTCGACGACGCCTGGGTGGACGAAATGCGCCGCGGCTTCAAAGCCTGCTCCGTGTTTCTCTGGTATCCGCTGTACTGGATCGCCAGCAACCAGATCAACAACAATCTCACGTCGCAAGCGGATACGATGCGCCACGCAGGCCTGCCACCGGAGATAGTCAGCAACATGGACCCGCTGGCGTTGATCATCCTGATCCCCATCTGCGATCTGGGCATCTACCCGGCCCTACGCCGGGCAGGGATCCAATTCACGCCGATCAAGAAGATCACGCTGGGCTTCTGGACCGCCGCGGCGGCCATGGTCTATGCGAGCGTCTTGCAGAACTATATCTACAACCACAACGACTGTGGACGGTATCCAAGCGCGGGTCTTCCAGACGGAACAGATTGTCCGCCGGCACGAATCAGCATCTGGGCCCAGACCGGCATATATGTCCTCGTTGCGATCAGCGAGATCCTGGCGTCCATCACGAGTCTCGAGTACGCCTTCACCAAGGCGCCCAAGAACATGCGCTCCATGGTCCAGGCGTTCGCGCTGTTCATGACCGCGGTCGCCAACGCCATTGGGGAAGGCTTGATTGCTTTGTCCACCGATCCGCTGCTGGTCTGGAATTACGCGAGTATGGCGCTCATCACCTTTGTGGCGGGCTGTCTGTTCTTGGTGTCGCATAGGCATCTCGACGCTGAAGAGGACGCGCTCAATCAACTTCCTGCAGGCCAAGTCGGCCGTGGTCGTGCTGCCGCCCTGCAGCCTCTCGGTGGCGGTCGCCTCTCTCGCACTGCGAGTGTTTCGAATCTTAGCGAGGCCAGTGCTGGGTCGGAAGACAGGATGCTGGCTGATAAAGAATGACACGGCTGGAGAAATCATGGCGGGCGCCCGTCAGCTAAGAGAGAACAGGTGGGACATAGAAAGGGGCCATGACGTTCATATACTACAAAATCATGGCCTTGAACTGGAATCTGACATTGGCGTTTGGTTTGCCTACAATGGGAAGAGGAGCACGGCCTGGAGTATGACTGTTCAAGTTTAGACTATGCAATGTCGCCCACGCACGACGCTGGCGTCGCCGCGGTATGAGACTGGGGCACAAGTCAACCCCGAGTATAGGAGTTGCATGTTTTGTCGAGTTTTTGTATTTGTGGCATGGCATTAGAGGAACATGGTTTATGGACAAGTTTCATCACTCTTTGCCGATGATGGTTCCATAACATGCCCTGCACAAAATATCCGTTGCGTGGCTGATTGATCCTCTCTTCAGCATGATAAGACGGGTCCTGGCGAAGCTTGATACCGAGTCCAACCAGTAGTGCTGAATTGACCGCCATTGGAAACCGAGTTCAACCAAAACGTACGGCCGGGACTAGCTCGTACCGGCCTCCTACCACACGACTGCGTGGGGGAATCGTGCTGGGCAGTACCACGCCCTTCGGTAACGCTCTCAAGACTTCATGCCAGCAGAACCCTTATTGTCTCAGAACTCTCCGAACGCGGACAGCGCAAACATGAGTCCAAAACTGATCTTGAATGCGACATTGTCATTGATCGCGCTGCGCAGGTTAACGTTCTTCACATTTCGCTGCAGACGGTCGACCGGGATGAAATTGTAGCCTTTCCGGGCAGCATACTATAGAGACATGAGGGCGTCAGTCTTGAGTCTAGATGATGCATAACCGTAAAGTCTGTGTCTCCCCTCTCTTCCGAACGAATGGGTGTTACGGCCAATGGATGATGGAATGCAAAATGCATATCAATACTGACCTGCCAAACCACAATTCCCAATCCAAGCACTAATGTCAAACTCCTCGAGAATGCTGACAACAACACGCCGGCGCCCAGTCCCAATATGGCGCCCAAGCTGATTTGTTTCACGGCAGCAGGATTGAGCGTCTTGCCGTCCTTTGTGAGTGGGGTCTTTGCATCGCGTGAGTGTGTGTATGATGCTGAGCTACTGCTACTGAATGGTGCGGCCTGTGAACTTGAAGGTTGAGGCGAGTAGGGGGATGTATCTAATCGCGTGATGGGACGTGGTTGGAGGAATGGGATGGACAAGGAGAGGCCGAATGCCACCAGGATGGGACGTTTGAGGAGGGCAGACTGCGGTCGTGCTTGTGCCCGTATTCGTGCTTGTGGGATCGATGTTGATATGGATTTGGACAGTGGAGAATGGGAGAAGAGGGACGGTCGGATGGCTGAGCGGAGGAACATGTCAGGGAAGGTAGGTGTTGCTGTTGTGGTTGTTGTTGAGGGAGGATGCCGGTATCGTGCTGAGGATGTGTTGAATTCGGTGTCGCTGGACTATCTGCACAGCAGGTGTAGAATGATGCCTAATTTAAATGTACTCAAGTCAACCACCGAAGAGAAACAGTATACAGAGAGATAAGGTAGTATGGTCTGTCTGTCAGTCGAGGTGTTGAAAGGGTTCTGTGACTGCGCAATGAAGAGATGATGTCATTCTTCTGGCGGGCAGTTTTGCACCGCAGCTGCGAAACACGAACAAACATCCAGCTGTCAACCTTCAACTCTCACCAATCCATTCACTCAATTCATTATTCACTCCGCCTCCGCAATCTTGTATCAAGCTCCATATTGGCTTACGAAAATCTTTGCAAGCAATATGTCTACTATGATTGACTGACCCATGGCATCCAATCGTGTTCTCGTTCCCGATCATTTCGGCCCAGACAGACCTCCACCGAAGACTTGATCCGGGCATCCCAGACAGCCAGAATGGTCCCCCGGATGCAGCACGCCGCACGCGTCGACTTTGCTTGACCCCGGCTATTGATGGGACCCTACCTCTGCCCCGAGATGGCTATTGGCTGGTGCAGGCCCCGTCAAGCCTTCGTGAGCCGAGATACAGGGGATGCTTGGGATAACTTCATCTGGGGAAGAAGGGGGTATTTCCGTGCCCCAGAAAATGCTAAACCAGTTGTCTTATATGTATCCCTGGAAAGAATATAGGTCTCTATACATTATTGACGATCCAATTCACCTCTTTGCCAGCTTTCTCGGCTTCTTTCTTACTACACGTTAGGACTCATTGGTGCAAGCAGTCGACTAACGCTCCTCAGACAGCATGGCAGATCCACAAGCGACGAATGGTGTCCCACATGTCTCAACACCAGTGATAGAAACACCGCTTCTCATCGTCGGAGCAGGTCCGGCAGGAGCTTCATTGGCATGTTTTCTCTCCTATCCGCCATACTCGATGACGGGTATCATGATCTCCGCAGCTTCCACGACATCGCAAACTCCCCGGGCACACATCACCAATCCTGCGGCATTTGAATGCTTGAGAGATATCGGTCTGGAACAAACATGTCTGGATCAAGCGGTGCGAGGCGACTGCATGCTTCATACTCGGTGGTGTCACGACATGACCGGCGAAGAGTATGCGCGACTCTACTCGTGGGGCAACGACCCCAAACGTCGAGGAGACTATGAAGGCGCCAGCCCCTGCAACCACGTGGATCTTCCTCAAACCGTGTTTGAGCCGATCTTGGTCCAGAGAGCAGCCGCACAGGGATGGGACATCAGGTTCCGAACCAGCATTGTGGATTTCAAGAAAGAAGACGACGGGAAGATTCTCAGTCGTGTCCGAGATGGTTTGACTCAGGCCGAGTACCTGATTAGATCAGATTACCTGTTCGGTTGTGATGGCGCAAGAAGCCAAGTCCTGCGACAGCTCCAGATTCCTCTGATAAAGAAACCCGGCCAAGGGCTGGCACTGAATGTGCTGGTCAAAGTCGATTTGAGCGACTTTGTTGAAGCCCGCAAGGGCAACTTGCACTGGGTCTTTCAACCAGACAAAGAATATCCCGACTTTGCCTGGTGTGGTTTAATCAGGATGGTCAAGCCGTGGAATGAGTGAGTAACCCAAATAAACTGTGTTGCTGGATGTTTGGCTAACTTCTGTAGATGGATGTTTATCCTGTTGCCCAAACCAGGCACGGAGTGGAAAGAACCAACTCACGAGCAAACCCTACAGAGATGCAAGGAGATCGTCGGTCGAGATGACCTGCCTATAGAGATCCTCGACGTTTCCAAATGGTACATCAACGAAATCGTCGCCGAGTATTATTCCGATGGGAATGTCTTCTGTCTCGGCGATGCAGTACACAGACATCCCCCATTCAACGGCCTCGGGTCAAACACCTGCGTACAGGATGCTTTCAATCTGGCGTGGAAAATCAAGCACGTTTCCCAGGGACTGGCAGCCCCCTCCTTGCTCGAAAGCTTCAGCCAGGAGCGCCAGCCTGTGGGGCAGGGTGTGATCACCCGCGCAAACCAAGGTATTCGTGACCACGCGCCGGTGTGGAGGGAAATGGGCTTGATGGAGGAGACGGTCGAGCAGAGAATGAAGGTCATGAACAGTCTCAAGACCGCTTCGCCAGATGCACGAGCGAGGAGAAAGAGAGTGAGTGCCGCTATCGAAGGGACTAGCCACGAGTTCCACGCGATCGGCGTGGAGATGAACCAAAGGTATGAGTCGCCTGCGGTTTACCTCAACGACGAGATCAAGGCCGGCCGGACGCAACCTGAATGGCCAGAAGATGCAATTCTGTACCACAAAGTCACCACTTATCCGGGCCACAGGCTACCGCATGCCTGGCTGAACCAAGCGATGCCCTTGAAAAATCACACCTCGACCATCGATCTTGCGGGACACGGTCGGTTCTGTCTCATCACTGGCATCGGCGGCGAAAAGTGGATTGAGGCAGCCCAGAAGGTGGGAAAAGAGCTCGGTGTCGAAATACACAGTGAGAGTATCGGCTGGGGGCAGAAATGGGTCGATGTCTATCGTGATTGGTAAGTTTGTCATGCACTCAATCCCAATGGTTCCCAGTAGTACCCAACCATGCTGGCGATATATAACTAACGTCACTCCAGGGAACGAAGGAGAGAAATCGAGGAAGACGGCTGCGTCCTTGTCCGGCCTGATCGATTCGTGGCCTGGCGCTCCATGGAGCTACGGGACGACTGTGAGGAGAAACTAAGGACAGTCATGAAGAGTGTTCTCGGAAGGGAGTGATGTGAGGATGATTCGACCAGCGATTGTGAATACTGAATTTATATCTAGCTTCTGGCCTCAAAACTCCCTCGAGAATAGTCGACGTTTCCTTGTCGTTACGTTCGGCATCATGGATTGAAGCGGCAAAAATGAAGCCATCTAGATCTTGTTTTCGATCGTTCACCAGAACTTGAGGAGAAATCGCCATATACTCTGCGGCCTCAGCCATGGCATTGCACCAGAGGAGAACTTCCTCTTCCCGACAAAGTTTCAAGTTGTCACAAGTGCCTCTCGACCTTCAAAATACTAGACATATTTCCTTCCCGTAACTAAGATGGCCCTTGCTAAGACTCTCACTCTATCTGCCTATCACTCCGTGCTGGATGATCAGAGTGTCTTCTCAGTAACTTGGTGCGACATTCTGGTCAGGAGTCAAGGAGTTCTGGCATGTCACTTATCAACTTGGTACTCCTACGACAAAAACGAAGCTATGTTTTAGATCACTAACCTACATACTGCAGCCGAAATACTCCCCAATGAACTCTAGAAGTGGGCAGTTCCCAGTACTTTCGTCCACAGGTTATAATCTGGTCAACTTAAGACCCAGATCCTGCAAAAAATGGAACGGGGAACGAAAAGACCAAAAAGGAGAAAATGCCAAAAAGGAAATTTTGTTGCATCAGCCGCGAATCGAACGCGGGGCCCATGCAAGTTGAGAGCTGTTTAAGGCTTTTGGCAACTGGAAGTGGATATTAGTAACTGAGACTATCTGAAATTAGACCAGATGATTGACTTACGCATGGATTTTACCACTAAACCACTGATGCGGATCTTGGAGTTGATTTGTTGAAGATCATTTTGTATAATGAAAACATAATCATCCAAAAAAAAAGGGCTTGCTTAGTCAGCTTGCGCGTATCCCCCAGGAGTGTTCTCAACCGTACTCTGTATAGTCCCAGGTCAGATACGGGGAATTTGTTTACACAATTTCTTCAAGAGGTCGTTGGTTCATTTATAAGGTGCGTATCTAGGTGTGACAGTTCTATTCTATTCGAGTGGTACATGGTGGACAATGCCTGCGGACAGGAGTTGATTATGTTCGCTTTTAGTAACTATATAGTAACCCGGAGAGAGAGGGAGAGAGAGGGAGAGAGAGGGAGAGAGAGGGAGAGAGAAAGTACTTGATTTTGTGTCGTGTTACAGCATTAGTACGTCAATGATTGCATCACAGTGTCATCTGTCCCATCATCCTAATCTCACCTTCCTCCATAATCTCAGGCACTCCAACATATCAGCACCGGCTTTATTTCTCCCAGCAGTGGAATTCATAGATTCATGGACGACTGCGACAAGTGCGGCGGCAAAGCAGAAAGCCAGCTTATTCTCATACAGCCAGTTGACCTGGACCATTTTCATACCACCTGCCGTGGTCCAGGACATCCACTCATCCAGGATTTTGGCAATCTTGCGTGCTTCGCCTTCGTCGCTCTGGCTCTGGTCGACGACCATCAAGTACAACACAACCTCGGCGAGCTGATCAAGGGTCCACTCCCGGCCGACCTGGCCGTGTTCAATCAGCCAAACCAGACACGCCTCGGCGACAGCCTTGGTGCTCATCCGCGGACTGACAACCGCCTCCTGCATTCTGCGTTGGTCCCGCTCCTGTCTTGCAGCCAGCGAGGCCCTCATGTCATCATACGTGGCCATTCGTTCTGCAGCTTCTCGATTCATCTTGTGGATTCTCGCTTGTTCAGGCGGCATCGTGGCTTCCAGTCGCTCGGCGGCCTGTCGGGCTTGAAAGCGCTGGAGGTGCCGTTGCGACATGTTGGTGGCCGCGTCTCGGGAGGCACTTTCGCTCTCGGACGACCATTGTGGGGCCTCGGTTTCATCCATCAGGCCCAGAAGCACCATGACGCCGCACGGGATGGAATCTCTGCATACAAATGTTTGTATGTCTGCAGGCATTTCAAACGCCCACATGCCACCACTGGCCTGTTTGCGCGACAAGACCGCCGAGGCCGCGCACGTAAACCAGAGACACGCCGTTGATCGTTCAAAGGTACGAAACGGTTCACAGATGGAGCCGGTCTCGACATTCTTCGCTCCCAGCAAAGCCTTTGCACCCGGTTGTCTTCTGCGCGGAAGCGGAAGCTCGAGCTGTCCATGCTGTACTTGTTTGCCGCTTTCATCTGGTCAATCCTGGCCGGCAGGTCGTGCTCCTCTTCCTTTCTCTTCTCGCTCGCTTCCAGTAGTGCTGGCTGTTTCAGCCGTCCCCAACCGGGCGGGAGACTTGCAGCTCCTCTGACGTCCGATACAGATGACGTGTCCTTCGACCATTTGACCGTGAGACTGAGGATCCCATCGCTTTCGTCAGGCATACTTGTCCTCAGCACCCAATCGACATGTTTCCGAGGCTCTCCGGCCTCGCTGTCCGCTTTCTTCAGCAGGATTGTCCCGGCTGGCGTCCATGGACCGCTTGATTTCAGTTTCTCCCACCCCATGGAGTCAGGCACCGCGCCCCAGTCAAGCAAGAAATGGACAAGATCTGAAAAATCAATCTCGGCGGGTGGTTCGCGCAATTCATCTTCATATTGTATTCTGTATAGCTTGCGGCCAACCATCAGCCTTTTCCAGTGGAATGTCCTCCAACTGCCTCCTCGGAGAAACCCTCGCACCCGGCCTTCCTCAACCATGCTCAGTGTGCTCTCTGTCCGACCAAGCAGTCTGTGGTGTTCCTCCTCCGCGACTTGTCCTTCACTCGTAGCCACCCAGTAGTCAGGGGCATTCCGCTCCAGAGGCGCGATTGTATATTTTGGCAGTTTCACCTCAATCAAGTTGGTCATGGGGGACCCCCGGATCGTAAACCCGTCCTGGGTACGAGTCGCGCTGATAGGTCTGTGGCCATGCTGAACGAGAGAGAAGTAGATCCGTCGTTTGGTCACAAGCGTAAGCATGAACGTGTAGAATATCGGCAGGACACCCAGCACCGCCAGCGGCACCCCGATGTAAGTTATGATGTCTGTCGCGGAAGCCACTATTGTGACGGCGCACGACGAACTGAACGGCAACGAGCCCTGCTTCAGGCCGGAGCAAGGAGATGTCAGGGCCACCGGCACATTATGTAGGCCACGAGTCTCTCGTACCAACCCCGGGTTGCCTTATACTGCTTGCGTCGAGCGCGACAGGAGACTATGGCGCTACAGGCTCTCCCTGCCACAGTGCTCCATCGGGCGCAGTTTGGTCAGTCTGGGGTACTGAAAAGGGGTCAGGAAGGATGAAGTTAGTCCTTCTCTGGATGGATATCATGCTGTTTGTAGACCAGAGGCCTGATAATCGCTTAGTCAGTCAACCCACTAGGTTAGCACTGGTGATAGATCCAATCAAGTGCTTAGGTGTACGTAAAGCGGCAGCAGCTTCTGACTTCCGCGCTCTTCTCACTGTGCTTCAAGATGAACGTCTGTTCATCTTAGCCGCAGAGTTGACAAGATGATCCAACATGCCAGCAGCTCATCTTTTCATGGGTACATTCCGAAGCTCATTTGAGACCCGCGGAAAGATGGTGCCAGCTACAAGGACAGACAAGGACCTCACAAAGCTGCATCACCCTACGCCTGGCACCCTACTTCTCTGCGCTTTGTTTGCTGGCTAACACCCACCAAACAGTTCTAAGTCCGTCTCATAGGGTCGTAACATGATACAGACACTTCCTGATATCTCAGCCAGCGACATGTTCTGGTTCCTGCAGTGGCATATGATCTATCGGCGCATCCTACAATACAGCATTCTTGGGTCCGCAACCTTGCGTGGCAATGAAGTATACTTAGGATCTGGAGGCGGCATTATGTGTTTGCACTGAACCAATAGCTTCTGGTGAATGAACATCAACTCTGGTCACCCACGTCCTTCCTGGCTTTGGAGAAGACAGCGACTGAGTCAAAGGAGGGATGCATTATCGCTGTTGGCTATACGCCGGTCGTCTTATCAAGTGTGGTAAGGATATGCGTTCCGATTCTCTGCCGTTGCGGCATCTGCTCTGGGGACGGTATATATGACGAGCGAACCTTGTTGTTCGGTCCGAGCACCTCTTAGAGTGGTCGCCGGTATGGTCGCCTTTCCTGCAGGAGCCCCTTTCCACGTCCGAGGGCTGTCCCAGTCCTAACTCTTTTTCATCGTCCAGTTAACACTTCAAATAACGCACAATGCTTTCGAGATGAACATCCCTGGTCAGGATATCTGGTTCCTACTCTGACAGCAGGTGAGAATGACCATCTCAACAGGCTGGTTCATACCTCACCAATGTCCTGCAGTATTGTCCTTGCAATGCAACAGGCCGGACTTGACGCTTGAGTTTAAGTCTGAAAGGACAAAGAAACGCCACCATATGTGTGTGGCTGGCTGCTGGCTGCGCCGAGCATGACAACTCGCTTTCCCATCGGCTCAAATATCATATAAATATGAAATACTGCGAAGCTTATCAGAATGGCCTGAGAGTATGGGAAGGGCTTCCCTTGTCAAGAATACACGTTCGAAATGCGACCTTGCTGCGCGCTGTTGCTGGTCGCCGCCCTGTCGAACTCGTCAAGCCCTCTCTACATCTCGAATCCCTACCCAACATTGCTACTTCTGGAATCTTATGAAGCATCTTGGCGACATTGTGTCTGGTCTGCTCCCACGACGATCTTTGCTTGGACACCCTTCACAGCGAGAGTGAAGACGGCTTCCCCATCATCAAGGTATGCTCTGAGATCAAGCCGCGATGGTGATTATTGCTGCCTCGAGCGTCGGGATCACCTCTGAGATCAGCCGGCGAAGGTGAATACCACTGCCTCCTACACTATGGCTTCCGCCTGATCTTCAGATGGACGACAGTGAAGTACACTCCCTCACTCGGGCAGGTGTCCTTGGTAACCGCCTTGAGCAAGAAGTGAAGTCGACTGCCTTTTTGGTGAAGATGCTCGCTGGACTTTCAATATGTGAATGTTCGTGTTGATGCAGTTGATCTGACTGCCCATCTGGGCGTATATCTACCTTCTCCATCACGCATCTTCTTCCATACATTTTCCTCCCCTTCCATCATCATCAACTCCCACTCAAACATCCAGCATAAGACTTCCTCATACCCAAGATCGATCCTGCCCACATCACCTTCATCAAGCTCTTTCGAAACTATCTCTCAAGTACTCCCAAATCTCAAGCAGGAAGCCCTCCTACAAGAACATCAACAATAAGAACAGATCCAGAACGTGCTTGAACCATCAATATGGGCTTCAAGGACTTCTTCAGCAAGTTGGGCATGACCCAAGACGCGGTAAGACCCTGCACTCCTCAATGATCCTAGCCTCGTCTCCTAACACGACTACAGCACAAGGCCCAAGTCAACGACAGCCAGAGCACTGTAGCCACTCAGGCCCCTAGTTCTCGCACATCAGATGACGACCTTCCATACCCTCCACGGCTGCGTATCATCCAAGGGGTGGCGGCTACCCCAGTCAAGATCACAAGCCCTGCGTTCGCCCAAGATGCCTTCACAACCCCGTCTCAAGTCAACACAACATTGCTTGGGCGGAAGTTGAGTGAGGCGCTCCCTTTCCCCAAAAAGAACAAGCGCAGACAATTGTCGGCCAAGCAGGCTCTGGAACAAATGCATGGAAGATTATCACCATTTGTTAGTCCTCCTACAGTGTCGAAGGTGCCAGCCAATTTCCAACCACTTCCACAGCAAGTAGAGGCAACGGTGGAAGCTTCCAAGTCAAGTAAGCATTATCTTTCGTTCCCAATGACAACCTCCTAACAGCCGAATAGCCAATGACATAGACTCGGTCCCATATGTGGCACAACCTCAAAACGCTGTTGTAGACTCTCCTGCCAACTTGGCCAAGGCATGCGGCGAACGCGCAAACAGTGCCACGATCGATGCAATCGAGGATCAAGACGATGAAGCCTCCCTGACTACAATTGAAGAGCCGTTAGTCTGGGTCTCAGAGACTGCAGAAAACTTCTTGAATACCGGTGCAGGACCAGCAGCTCCCTCTTTCGCAGAGAAGCAGGACCAAAGCAAAAAGGTTCCAACTCTCGGGTTTGACGTCGTTGCTGAACAATCCGAGGGCAGCACTAGCTCCAGCAGTGGCCCCTCGGAGACAACGTCAAGCCCAGCACAGACAGCAAACGTTTCGACGCCTTTCACTCCTGCTGAAACGGGCAATCCATCCACACTGTATCAACAGTGCACTCCGCTGGATGCAGTTGCTGAAGAAGGAATCAACAATGAAGCATCTCCTCGAGAGGGGCTGGATTCACCTTGCCCTATGCCGCGTCCATTGACAACCATCATTAGGACGACATGCGATATTCCTCCGGTCGAGGAGCATCATGAACATGGATTTCACTTTCATGTTCATGCAAACATTGCTCCAGTCGAAGAGGAGTCGCATGAAGATGATGGTCAGGCGGACATGCAACAACTTCAAGACGCTTTGAGCCAGAAAGAGTCGCTCAACCAGGGCTTACGACTGCAGTTGCTGGAACAGGAGGAGGAAGTCGCTAGACTTCAGAAACAGCTTCAGGCCACGCAACGAGAGCGTGACCTCTATGAGGCTGAGCAAGATGCGTCTGTGGAGGAAATGCAAAAGCTTCACAAAGCCATCGCCGTCAAAGACAAACAGATCTCGGAAGAGAGTACCAAAGCAAACGATGTTCTCCGCCAGCTGCAAAATGCTCGAAGCAGCATCGGCCTCGGGTCTGGCGAGCTCCTTGCTGAACAAGACCAAGCTCGTCAGCAAGCGCAGGCTGAATTTCACCGCGCCCAGACCCTGCAAACCATCGCCAACGCAGTGACGGCGGAGAGACCGAATTTGGCGCAACGCATTGCTCATATTGAAGCAATTGCCAACATGAACGCCCAGCGACATGAAGCTGAGGCTATGGAGCTGCGTGCCAAAGTTGACCACATGCGTAATGCCGGCATGATCCTGGAGCAACAGCTCAACTACCTTGTTGGCCTGAAAGATACTGCAGAGGCCCGTGTTGAAGAACTCGAGGTGCGAGTTCAGTCTCTTCTTCAAGATGTGACGGCGAAGTGGCTGGAAAATCCAGTTGACGCAGAAATGGAAGGATTGGTAAATCCTGGTACGCAGAAGCCGAATGAGCTTCATGATGTCAAACAAGCTTTCGAACTGTCGCAGGCAAAGCTTATGGCAGTCGCAGAGGTCAACCAGGACCTGCACGACACTGCGGCAGAACGCGAGAAGGAGCTGACGGAGCTCCGCCAGAATAATGAGCTGCTGAAAGACAAAGCAGCGAGACTCTCGTCAAGTTTCGAGATCTGGATGTCGAAGCTTGACAACTGGATGCAGACAATTCCTGGGATCGTCAAGATGCATGACGAGATTGAAGAGATTCCTGGACTCAAGGAACTTCTCGAAGAGTCCGTCTTCCACGAACAGTGCATCGCCAAGGAATTGAGAGACAAGGGTGATCTGGTGTCCCAGCTCGAAGCCAAGATCCTGAAGCTGGAGCGCAAGCATGGCGCCGAAATTGAGGCGCTCGAACGGCATGCAAGTGAGGTCCAAAAGGCAAAGGCTCGCCTTGACACGGATAACTACGAACTCGCTTGTCACACGGAAGATGCGCGAAAGGAGTCGGAGGCTCTGAAAGTGCAGCTGGCTCAGTGCGAGGACGAAGTCCAGCAGTGGAAAGCACAGTGCCTAGAGCAGGCCTATGGAGATACTGTGGAGATTATAGAGGCACAGCAAAAGGCCCACATCAAGCACTATACCGACCAGGTCGAGGCCTTACAAAACCGCTGCGATTTATTCTTCCGCGCCAAGGAACGTGCAGAAGGAGATTGGTCAACCTTCAGAGTTGTGGTCGGGGAACAGATGGCTGGTGTCGCTGACTTGGGCGCGGAGCGCGACTGGTATCAGCAGCAAGTGGAAGCCTTGCGACAACGATTCGAGCATGAGCTGCTGGTCTGGCCGTTGAAAATCCCATATCAACCGGCGCATTCGCATCTGTCGGCAGAGGAGAAGGAGGCCGTGATCGCTGGAGAGGACCGCGTGATTGCGAAAATCACCGGATATCTGACAGGCCGATCTGCTGCTCGTCCTCGAAATGTCCAAGTGCTCGAAGTTTGGGAAGGATTCGTTGCATGGGCGTTGGGCAAGGCGGAGGATGATACAACAGGGAAAGGGAAAGGGACGGCGAGGGCCGAGCTTCAGCCTGAGCTGCCAACAATGACGCCGCTCCCGCCACCAAATCAACCTCAACAGGCATAAGGTAGTGTTGAGGTAGAAGGTCTGGAAGGAGAAGGTGACTCAAGTTGGGTCACCGAGGACGAGGACGAGGACGAATGTGTGGCCGGCCCATCCAACCAAGGGTCTGCGGAGGTTATGGAATGGAGCAGGGGAAGTTCAATCCTCTTCTGAAGGACTGAATAGACAATAGGTGGTGGGTTCGGTTATGGAAAAGTTTGTACATTGGAGGATGGCGTTTGGGAAGTGGAGTGATGGTCAGTCCGTGTGGTTCACTGTGGGAAGGTATCGGTTGGGTTTTTGCATTGTTGCACTTAGTTTACAAGTTGTGCTACTATTGTTGTGAGGGCTTGGCCAGGTCAAAACGGAGACCTTCTGCAGTATAACAGTATATGGAGTTGGATGGTATCAGCACGGCATGTTATGATGAATCGATATCCTGCTTGCTTTACGCCGTGGGTAGTCTTCTTCAATTTCCGAAAAGGAGAGCCAGCCTTGTCAATCATTGATTGCATGCCGCTATAACGGCCTGTTCCGCTGAGTTTTAAGCGGTCAAGGGGCAGGATTATTTTCCCAATCTCGGTGGCAGGGCCCTTATGGGTTTGGGCACTGGGAAACGATGGGAAAACTGGCACGAACAGGCCCTTGTCGCCCAAGGTGCCGCCCTAGAAAAAGACTTGAATTCCAAGCACTTGTTGCCTACTACCTAGGTACCTGATGTAGGTAGAAATACTAGGTCTGTAAGGTATGTAATCAATATCTTGTTAAGCGGGGGGCCCACCCGATTTAACAATTTAACGTCATAAATAGGGTCTTAGTGCCCAGAGAGCCGTCTAGTATATATATTATTAACCTGAAATACCAACAAAAAAGACACCAGCAGACAACGCATCCTCTGTGGCGCAATTGGCTAGCGCGTCTGACTGTTAATTGTACAAAAATCAGGAGGTTGGTGGTTCGAGCCCACCCGGAGGAGGTCTTTTCTTTTTTGGTCAGCGACTTTATTCGTCCTATTTTTCTTTGCATATGCAGTGGGTGGTGCGCTGCAAGTGAAAAGTGGAACGAAAGGGTGCTAGCAGACTTGGCACCACAGGAAGATCCGGCGGTGTAACAATATGAGATGAGGCCTGCAACAGTCGGCACACACAGCCTGAGCGATAGTCATTGCGGTCAGACTTACCTGTCACGGCTCGGGATGAACCCCCAGGCCCAGGCAATTAGGGCAAGAGTGTTGAAAGCGGTGAGAAGATACACCTGCATAGCTATTCAGGCAAGTTTGGCAAGCATTGCAGGCTCTGGCTGGTGAATCCGAGCAGTCTGCGTGGCGATCACTACAAATATGGGACACAGCACATTCTACGAGAAAGGTATTCCATGTGAACCAACGCTTACGCGAACTGCACTAGGTATCCATGCCAGTATGATATGATCCTCCCCTGTGGCTATGCATACATGAATGCCATAGTAAAATGCTCCCTTTGAACAAGTGCCTAAAGCCCGGCCACTCGCCTGCGCCTCAACCAGCACCGAGGCCAGATCCTAACGCCTTCACTCCCCCCTACTGGGCCATCTCCGTCGTCGTGACTGTCTCCGTGACTGTGACCTGAGACTGGGCGGGATCGGTATTTGTCGAAGCTGAAAGTGATACAGCTTGCTCGAGGCCTCACACCCACGAGTCCTCGAGGGAAGAAGAAGACTGACGCCACGGCGGGAAGAATTCCTGCTGTAGGAGCTCGAAGTATTGTCAAAGCGGCGAGGAGGTCTTGATGCATACAATAAATCGATCAGGTGCTGAAAAGCTCCACGAAAGCATGAGTTCAATACGTAGTCAGCACAAGTAATGAGGTTCGTGTCCCACCAGCAGCGAAGGTGATCTCAATCCCAGGGGTGAGTGAGCACAGAGCGGCGTCACCCAGATCCCCAATCAAGGTGGCAGGGCTGAGGAGGCCGTCATGGGTCTTGGCAACCTGCGCAGTTGTCACAGTGTCCTCACGCTCGGTGTGAAATGCTGCTATGCTCCAACAACTTGAAGTCCATAGCTCCCAGGGGGATACTTCTCTTCCACTGCCAGCTTGTTCTGTTCCTTCGTTTCTGCCTCTTGAGCAGGTCCTCTCACCTCTTCTTGTTTCTCTTCAAGTTCTCCCCCCTCAACCCCTGTAAATACAGGGAACCCTCAAAGCTGTTCCACCCTGCGCAACCCACGCAGCAACCATGAGCGGTCGTGCGTCAACATTCCCCCACGGTTGTTGCCAGTCCTCGAAATGCTAACCATGCCACAGTCCGTTTCCTTGACCTCATCAAACCCTTCACGCCCCTCCTGCCGGAGGTGGCAGCCCCGGAGTCGAAGGTTCCCTTCAACCAGAAGTTGATGTGGACAGGAGTAAGAGAACAATGATCGCACGACGCGTGCACAGGACGGCAAGGGACTGACATTGGGGATAGTGTACGCTGCTCATCTTTTTGGTCATGAGCCAGATGCCTCTGTATGGCATCGTCTCATCTGATACCTCCGATCCCATCTACTGGCTGCGTATGATGTTGGCCAGTAACAGGGGAACTTTGATGGAATTGGGAACGACGCCCATCATCTCCTCGGGGATGGTTTTCCAGGTACGGCATAACGAGAACGATTTCGACGCGCTCGAGCTGACGCGACAATTCTAGTTGCTTGCCGGTACCCACCTGATTGATGTCAACCTCGACCTCAAGTCCGATCGCGAACTCTACCAGACCGCGCAGAAGTTGTTCGCCATTATCCTGTCCTTCGGCCAAGCCTGCGTTTTCGTCCTCACTGGTCTCTATGGCCAACCAAGCGATCTCGGTGCCGGTATCTGTCTCCTCTTGATCGTCCAGCTGGTCATCGCTGGCTTGGTCGTGATTCTCCTCGATGAGTTGCTACAAAAGGGATATGGTCTTGGATCGGGCATTTCGCTGTTCATCGCGACAAACATCTGCGAGTCGATCGTGTGGAAGGCATTTTCTCCCACCACCGTCGACACTGGTCGTGGCAAGGAGTTTGAAGGCGCGGTCATTGCTCTTTTCCATTTGCTCGTCACTTGGCCAGACAAGACTCGCGCGCTTCATGAAGCTTTCTACCGACAACACCTTCCGAACATCATGAACCTTCTTGCTACATTGGCAGTCTTCGCTGCTGTCATCTACCTCCAGGGTTTCCGCGTGGAGATTCCTGTCAAGTCCTCACGCCAGCGTGGTATGCGCGGTTCGTACCCGGTGCGCCTGTTCTATACCTCCAACATGCCGATTATGCTGCAATCCGCTCTGGCGTCCAACATCTTCATGATCAGTCAGATGCTCTACACTCGCTTCTCGGACAATCTCTTGGTCAAGATGATCGGCACTTGGGAACCAAGAGAGGGATCTTCCCAGCTTTATGCTTCTGGTGGAATTGCCTACTACATGTCTCCTCCTCTCAGCTTCCGCGACGCACTCGTCGATCCTATCCACACGGTCATCTACATCACATTCATCATTGTAACCTGCGCCGTCTTCTCCAAGACTTGGATCGAAGTGTCTGGTTCGGCCCCACGTGACGTGGCCAAACAACTTAAGGAGCAGGGTCTCGTCATGGCGGGTCATCGTGAGCAGAGCATGTACAAGGAGTTGAAACGTGTCATCCCCACTGCTGCAGCATTCGGCGGTGCTTGCATTGGAGCCCTCTCGGTTGCCAGCGACATGCTTGGAGCTTTGGGAAGTGGAACAGGTATTCTGTTGGCCGTGACCATCATCTACGGCTATTTCGAGATTGCGGCCAAAGAGGGTGATTTCGGCGGCAATCTCAAAGGCTTGATTGCTTAGATGTGATGTGCTGGAGCGCTTTTGCGCCAAGTCAGCATCTAGAACAGCAGCGAGTACTTGAACAGCGGAAAGGGGTCGGTCGGTCATAGGTCATGAAACAAAAAGTGTGCCTTTTCTGCATAGCATGGGAATATCACACTCTTGGAGGCAGGGACATTGAACGGTTGGGTGGTGATCTCTGTACAGGAGCTACATGCAAAACTGTATATTTTGTTTTGCAGACGAGACCCAAATAGCAAGGATTTCAGCTGTCAAGGCATCACGTTGTTTGCTCCAGACCACACAGCTTCGTCCCTGTCTAGCAGCAGCACATGTACTTTTGGCGCGTGTGTGGTCGTTACATGTATCCTTGCGTCTCAGGCTGCGTTACTCGACACCAACATTGCTTCAAGCGCCCAGGCACCCAGATAAACCAGAAACCAGCTCCTGTGAACACATGTCTTCTCCTCCGGAGTCTATTTCGAAATCACCTTCATCATGTCCAGCCTTCCAGTCACAGTCACAGGGTAGCTACCTCCTCACGTTCTATAATCTCCATTGATCGTAACGTATTCATGGCTGAAATCACAGAACCAGTAATTGGCCTCCTCTTGTCCCGTACCGAGATCGACTTCGATATGCAGATCCTCATCCTCCAACAGGCGTGCAGCACGCTCTTCATCGACAGATTCAGGTTCGCCATTGACCAACAGCTTCAGCACGCCTTCGTCCTTTGACTTCGAGTTCGGCGCCGGCACGAAGCTGACGTTCGTCTTGGTCGGGACCACGGCGTCGGGCGAGATGTCGGGCGTATACCCGATGGCGCAGAGGATGCGGCCCCAGTTGGCGTCTTTGCCGTACAGCGCGGTCTTGACGAGCGGGGAGCGGGCGATGGTGGAGGCGATTGCGCGGGCGTCGTGGTGGCTGGGCGCGTGGCGGACGGTGACTTGGACGAATTTGGTGGCGCCCTCGCCGTCACGCACGACCAGTTGCGCGAGCCGCTGGGCGAAGGACGTCAGGATGGAGGACATGGCGTCGTAGTCTTCCTTGGAAGAAGCCTCCTCGGTGATCAGTGAGGGCGTGGTGTTCTGGGGTGCTGCTGCTGCTGCTGCCGCGCCGTTCGCAAGGATCGCGACGGTGTCGTTGGTCGACGTGTCGCCGTCAATGGAGATACAGTTGAACGACTGGTTGACGGCGGTGGTGAGGAGGGATTTCAGGGCCGAGGCTCCGATGGGGGCGTCGGTGCAGAGGATGCCCAACAGCGTCGCCATGTTCGGGTGGATCATTCCGGCGCCTTTGGTCATTCCTGCCAGACGGTATTCGATCCCTCGGTGCTGCGTCGACGGGAGGGTGAATGTGGTCGAGAGTAGTTTCGGGAAGGTGTCGGTCGTGCAGATGGCTTTCGCGGTCGTCAGCCACGCGGTGTGCGAGTCGTCTAGGTTGGCGTACGCCGTGGGGATCTTGGCCAGGATCTTCTGGATGGGCAGCCGTTGTCCGATCACCCCGGTCGACATGACTAGGCTGTTGGGGCCGAGATTGTCGGCGTCGGATCCAGATGACGGTTGGGAGTGCTGAAACTGCGCACTGGCTGTCTCGGCCATGGCTTTAGCGTCGTCGAGCCCGCCGGCACCGGTCACGGCGTTGGCGCATCCAGAATTGATGATGATGCTGCGTAGACCGGTGCCGCCGCGCTTCTCGAGCACGCTGCGGCTCACTTGCACGGGCGCCGCTTGGAACTTGTTCGTCGTGAACACGGCCGCGCCGAAGGCGGGACGGTCGGACGCAATCAGGGCGAGGTCCGGGTGGGACTTGTTGGCCGGTTTCACGCCCACGTGTGTCCCGCTCACTTTGAACCCTTTGGGATACGTCCCTGACGTTGGGATGTATTGCTGTTTCGATGCCGGGATGGACGAGTCCACTGGCGCCGAGTAGTGTCGGATACAGTTGCGGATGAAGGACCGAGAGGGTGACATGGTCGGAGGTGGCATGGTGACGGTCAGGCTGAGGCTGGGTCTGATGGTCGGGATGGGACTGCTGTAGACAAGAGAAGTATATATGTGCGATACACTCAATGAACCCTCTGAGTCGACTGTTGGGTTTGGGTACAGTGTGTATTTCTCTCGATGCCGTTCCGGTACAACCCCCCGTTGATCCTGCGGATGGGTTTGGTCTTGTGGCCGCCGCCGGTCGCAAACGGTTTGTCTCGTAGCCGCTGAGCCTCCAGACGTCTCGTTCCCTTCTCTAGCGACCACGCAGCGTCTTGTCGCACAGGTTTCAAGTCTCGAGCTCTTCGCGGGTTCAAACGAAGCCGATACGGACAGGACAGTAGATTGCTGATGTCCTCTCCCCCCCGGGCCGTAAGAGTGCGATTCAGCTCTCGTCGGTAGCACTTTTCATACAAATGAACGCCTTAGAGTAGGAAGTAGTAAATGAGGATGAGAGAGGTTTGACTGGCCTCTGAGTGAGTCACTGGCAGAGAGAAAGAAGTTCGATCGATTCAAGTTCGTCGTGCAGAAGAAAGCTTTGCGGTGAAAGGCGCAACCAATCAACGGCTCCGATTTGCGGAGAGAGAATTGAACACGATGCCTGTCGCAGAAGTGTAACAGTACTGCTAATACTACTACTACCTTAGTATCGTTGCTACTGCCATGAAGGTGTTTGTTGATGTTCATATGTTCATATCAGTGGTCAATAAGCCCACCCACTGAGAGCTGGGCTTCTTTTCCTCAACCATGGCCAAACGAAAACAGCCAGAACCGTCCCCTGAAGTTGAAGTCAGCGGAACCCCCTCGAAGCGCCGTCGCACCAGAACCTCAGAGACAGCGCCCACAAATGGAGTTCACGATGGCGATGAGGATTACAGTCTCAATGGCCTCGTATCGACGAAAGAGACTACACCCAATAAACAGAGAACTCCTTCCAAAGCAAAAAGAAAGTCTGCCGCCGATACACTACTAGACGAAGAAGAGCAGGCAGACGAAGGCAGCCCAACCCCCAAAGCGAATGGTCGAACATTGTTCTCAACTGCAAGAAGGACCAAGGCCAAAGCCAAAGCCACTGCTGGGAAAACAACACCCTCCAGGTTCAGAGCAGATCGATCGGCGAAGAGGAAAAGCGCACGCGCTCTAGCCGAGTTGCAGGACGAAGACGATTGGGATGGACAGGTTGCTCTAGCGAAGGAGATTCTTGCTGCTGGAGAAGACGGGACCGAAGATGACGATGAGGATGAAGATAACCCCGCCGGGGCTATAGATGGAGTCGCAGACAGAGACACTACAGAGCAGACGACCGAGCCAGAAGATACTACGACAACCACTCCGGTCAAAACACCCGGGAAACGTGGACGACCCAAGGGCGCAAAGAACAAACGATCGCCCACGCCAGAAGGCGATATCGCGCCTGAAGAGCGGTATTTCTTCCAGAACCGCGCAGGGCCGCCGCAGATCTCGAGCAACAAGTTCGCCTCGGTCAAGCTTCTCAACCACGATGAGTATTTCGAGCAGATCAAGAAAGCAAAAGACACACACGAGCGCGATAGGGCGCAGTTGATGAAGCTGCACGCCCGATCGTTCGCGCAGTGGTCGTTCGAGCTGGACCAAGGGTTCGGGCTGTGTTTGTATGGATATGGGTGTAAGAGAGGGCTCACCAGCAAATTCGCCGAGTGGTTGTACAAACACAATCATCAACGGGCGACATATGGGATTCAGGATACAGCGCTCTCTCTACTGACCCGTCCTCCACGTATCGTCGTGGTCAATGGATACACGCCGAAACTGAACGTGCGCGGGATATTGAACACCATTGCTGCGGCTGTCACGAATACGTCAGATGACGACGGGGATGACTCTGACGATGATGAAGAAGAGGACGACGAGGGCGGTCAGCGTCGAAATCAGAATGAGCGCATCAACCACCATCGCAAGCGTCTGCGTCTGGTCGGCCAACCGCATGAAATGCTCGACACTCTACTTGCCTGTCTCACAAACACAGCGTCCGCAGATGACGCCATTAGTGGTGGTGATGGTGGTGGTGATGGTGGTAGTGATGGTGATCGTGATGGTACCAACAACATCAACCTCAAGAAGAACAAGAACAAAAACAAAACAACCACCAATCCGAACCCCATCAGAACTGACTTAATCATCTTCATCAATTCCATCGACGCCCCTCCGCTCCGTCGGCCAGGGATTCAATCCCTCCTAGCCCGGCTCGCCGGCCACCCTCAAATCCAATTCCTCGCCACGGCAGACACCCCGACGTTTCCTTCACTCTGGAACTCGACGCTGCTCGACCAATTCCGCTTCGTGTTCCACGACTGCACGACCTTTGCGCCGTACACCGCCGAAATCAGCGTCGTGGACGAAGTGCACGAGCTGCTGGGCCGCAAACGCCTACGGTCCGGCGGCAAAGAGGGGATCGGGTTCGTTCTGAAATCTCTCCCGGAGAACGCGAGGAATTTGTACCGGTTGTTACTGTGTGAGATTATGGAGATTTTGACCGATGGAGAAGGAGGAGAAGGAGTCGGAGGTCAGGGTCACGGAACTCGCCATACAACGAACGGTACTCATGACCATGACCACGACGGCTACAGCTACAATCACAACGACCACAACAACGAGATTGATGACGAAGACAATGACAACAACGACGACGATGATGACGGCACAACAAGAAACAATCACCAAAAGTCGTCGAGAAAGACGAAGAAGGCGTCAACAAGACATGAAACATCTGCAGAGCAGGTCGGCGTCGAATACCGTACGCTGTACCAGAAGGCGTCGGAGGAGTTCATCTGTTCCAGCAGTATGAATTTCCAGTTTCTGTTGAAAGAGTTCCATGACCATCAGATGATCACGAGTCGTCGGGACGCCGGGGGGATGGAGGTGTTGAGTGTTCCGCTGGAGAGGGGGGAGATGGAGGCCGTCCTCGAGGATTTGGTTGTTTGAGTGTGGAACCCTGGAGAGACGCGAAGCAGAAGAAGCAGAAGCAGAAGCAAAAATGTCGTTGATCTGGACAAGGGACGCCTAGGAAATGCCATTGTCCGGATTGCACCAGGAGACAGAGACCAACAGTCTTGTTGGGGAGAGATGGGCAGAAGTATCATCCTCGTCGGAATAGCTGGTAGAAGAGCCACGAGCACGAACCGAACCAGTACCATTTTCAGACCAGATATCAAATGCATTGAATGCGAGATAGATTCGAGTGTCAGTTTCAAGTCTATACATGCAAGCCAATGCCCACTGCAACTGCAACTGCAACTGCAAAAACAATTGAAACTGATAGAACCAGAGACCAACATCGAAGACTGGAGAGAAACGCCAACCTATGCCCCCCAAGTCTTTTTTGGTCCTTGATCGAAATTCCTGCTTTTCTGTTGCACACCTTTTGCGTCTCCTCTCGCTTTTCGAGTGACTGTTCATTTCCCGGGGGTTTCTGGTCTCTCGGTCCATTCCAACATCATAAATCCAATGAGACAGAAAGGCATTTACCATCCCCTACCGGCCATCTTCTCCGTAGGAGCCATGGTACCGCAGTTGATGCCGACCATAGCCTCGCCCAGACCCTCACTGCACTCGGCGAGGACCTTCGCATCCTGATAATGGGTGGTGGCCTGGACGATGGCCTTGGCGCGCTTCGCGGCATTGCCGGACTTGAAGATGCCGCTGCCGACAAAGACGCCGTCGCAACCCAGCTGCATCATCAGCGCGGCGTCGGCGGGCGTGGCGATGCCGCCGGCGGCGAAGTTGACCACGGGCAACCGACCCAGCTCGGCGGTCTGCTTGAGCAGGACGGGATCACAGCCGATCTCGCGGGCCAGAGCCCTCAAGGCGCCCTCGCCTTCTTGCAGGGCGGCCTGGGCGCGGGCGATATCCCGCTTGACGGTGCGCATGTGCTTGACGGCCTCGACGACGTCGCCGGTGCCAGCCTCGCCCTTGGTGCGGATCATGGCGGCGCCCTCGGCGATGCGGCGCAGGGCCTCGCCCAGGTTCCGGCAGCCGCAGACAAAGGGGACGCGGAACCCACTCTTTTCCACGTGGTACGTGTCGTCCGCGGGCGTCAGCACCTCGCTCTCGTCGATGTAGTCGATCCCCAGGGCCTCGAGGATCTGGCATTCGACAAAATGGCCGATGCGGGCTTTGGCCATCACGGGGATTGTCACGGCGGCTTGGATCTCGCGGATCAGGTGCGGGTCCGACATGCGCGCCACACCACCGTCTTTGCGGATGTCTGCTGGCACCCGCTCCAACGCCATCACCGCGCAGGCGCCCGCTTCCTCGGCGATGCGCGCTTGTTCCGCGTTGACCACGTCCATGATCACCCCGCCCTTGAGCATCTGTGCGAGACCGGCTTTGACGGCGAACGTGGGCACCGAGGGGGTAGTGCCGTTGGTGGCGGAGGAGGTGGTGATGGTCGACATGGTGCTGTTGTCGTTCATGACCATATTGCGATTTGGGTATGAGGAGGAGGAGGAGAGGAGGGGGAAGGTCTAGGTGGTCGAAGTGGGCGAAATGGAGGTGAAGGCGAAGACTGTCCCGGTGGCGACGTGGGAAGGGTTTTGTGTGAATTGTACTCCTCAAGCGTTGTTGAAGCAGACAATGACTTGTGTAGGTACTGTCTTGCGGAGGAAGTGGGTTTAAAAACCAAAGAAGATGGAGAGAGGAACTTGAGGATAGAAGTCGTTGAGTCACCAGAGAGAAAGTCTCCAGTAAACAGAGAAGAGGGTCTTTTTAATTTAGTGGTCCGTCCGACTATCGAAGACGGAGGTGAAAGTCCGTACGAGGCCAGACCGGAAAGGGACAAGACTTGAGATTGTAGTGATTGAGTAAGGCAACAAACCCCGAGTGTCGAATAGTATATATACTATTAGAACCACTCTGCCTAGAGTTGGTGGACTGTCTACTCTGTATTTACTGACTTGTAAACTGCGCCCTTGGACAATTGCCAAAGGGCGAAAGGGTGGAAAAAGGGTGATTTTTTCCATCTTCTCCCCGCGCCGCCAAATGCTAGTAAGTAATTGGAGTTCAATCCAAGTTTCCCGACGGGGAATCGTATTACTAGAACTTCGTATCTCTCGGCCTTCTTATCGAGATAAGATAAGATAACAACTAAATACTTGATGGGGTAAAAACACCTCGGACCTTGATATCAGACTTCCATTCGTCCACTACCTCTCCTCCTCCGTCTCTTCATGCGTCGACCGCGACAGTAGACCGTCAGTAGTCATCTGTATTCTGATAGACCCTATTCCGGGTCAGGATAGGTTGACACTACGAGGGATTCGAGACAAAGACAGAAGCCCGGGCCTGGCTCCTCCAACTTCCATCTCCACTCCCATGCTCGTTGTCGGCGATAGATTGACTCCCCCTTCCATCCATACAACCCTCGGCCGTGTGACCAGTGCTTTGAGCTCCTCCATGCGTTGCTCACGCTCGCTATGTCATTGTGACCTCGATCCCATCATGGCGCTGACAACCATGTGACTGACCTCCTTTCGCGCTCCACATGCCCCATTCCAGAATGGACAAGGCCTCCATCGTCGCGAGTCCTCCATCACCCTCATTGTCAGCTCCCGACCTTCCCGAGGATGTGTTCCTGTTGATCTTGACCCACCTAGCGGCATGGGACGTCGTCAGCTGCCAGCGAGTGTCCAAGGCATGGCGGACCGCATACACCAAGCCCGAGTACCTTCGGATTGTATTGCAGCAGTACCCACACACCCGAGAAATCCGGGACCTGCCTCCAGGGGCTCTGCACTTCCGCTCTTCGCAGGGTGGTCGGGTCGACTGGCAACACATCGTTGTCACCGTGGCCTCACGCCATCAGAGTTTCGTCACAGGCACCGCCAGAACGGTGTGCAGATATCCCATGGCCGACGTCGAACAATCGGGCCACTGGTTCCCCGTTGGACAATGGCGTTACCATGAGAGTCAGCCGGGAGGTCGTTTGTATAGCCAGCCTGCTGCCATGCATCCCGGGAGGACCAGCTCGGGACCGTTCCTGTTCAGACCCACCTTGTGGTCATACGACGATGGTCTTCTCGTGTATGCTCCTGCTCAACGCAGTCAAGACGATTCCGTCCCCTCCTCCCCATTCCTGACTCTTCTGGACATCGCCACTGGCGAGAGGTATCCCGTCCCGTTCGACATCCGCGGTAAGATCATTCGCAATCTCCGCCTGAGGGACCGCACTTTGGTGCTCGAATGGGCGGAGAAGGATCCCTATCACAATCTCGATGCCGTGGAACAGGTCAACCGGCATTTCGCAAGCTGCTTCGACATCAGTCGGGGGAAGAACCCGCAATCTTGGGCGGTGGCATGGCGATCAGAGTGGAAGATGCACTTTCTAGGATTGCCGCTCAACTCCCATTCCCGCTTCTTGTCCACCCACAACTCCACCCACTATGCGGTGTACTTCTGGCAGCCCAATCGCAGCATGTATGCCGGCGGCGAGGAGATGCCCATAGAATCACTAGGGGTGTGGGACATTTCTAACCCTTCCTCATACCAACCCTCTACTGATCCCTCGGGAAAGTCCCGTCCGCCAGAGAAGGAGGGTCCATATATCGTCTCGAGATTCTTGTTCACCGACATGGACTTCTTCGGGGTGAGGCAATATGCGAGCGTTTCTCTCATGTCTCTCAGTCTCCACTCGGCATCGTTGTCGCTTACTGTGCGGGAAAATGTCGGCGTGGCCGGACAGGGCTATTTTGACCCAGCCGAGAGGCTGTGGTGTGCAAAAACAACCACATTCCCTTTTCTTGGCCAAGGTCCTCGGCTGTACAGGGAATGGGACGGCACTCTGCCACCATATCGCGGGCATTGTAGCATGGAAAGCGCCGAGGTCGAGGACAGCGAGAGGTGGTTCGTCCCAATCATGGATGTGATCGACGTAGATGCCGGCGTCAGGATGAGTCTGGTGGAGACCTGTATCTCCAGCCAAAGCGTGCAGAATCAGTTGGTGATCAGGATGAGGTTCGAGGCGGCAGGTCAAAACGACGGAGAGGATGTCGGTCCAGGTTGGGTGACGCTCGAAGACCGCTTGACTCGGGAGGTAGGTTCAAGGGGACGCATCGCCGGCGACGAGAGATGGTTGATCGGGCAAAATGAACACATGGAGATTGTGGTATTGAACTTTTGATCCTATAACCTTGCAAGGGGAGAACCGGCTTCAGGGGCGTATTCGGACTCGGGGAGGACGCTGGCGATATTGAGCAAGTGTCAAGGAATGACAAAGAGACGACTCAGACGAGATCGCGGGGCCTCGAGACCAGTCCTTCGGCCGAGAAGGAATAGAGAGGGCCGTGCATGAGTACGTATTGGATTAGAACTGTGATTCTATTGCGCAGGTCTGGTGGGCGGGAGTTGGAGTCGTGCTTGTTGATAGACAACGCAGGTGAGAAGGATGAGAAATATTTGGACACGGCAGCGTCATGCCTAAGCATTCCATCCACAGGCAGGCCAAGGTGCCTGGGTGACCTGTCCTTCTGGGCTCCTTAGGCATCCTTCCAGCTCGAAAACCCCCCAGGCACAGGACCTAGAGTATCACTCCAGATATAGGCCTTGATGCCCGGAACATCGCCTAAGAGTTTCATCTTAGGCACCTCTTGTCAGGCTCTTTAGGCTTCTTCATACCTAAACTCCCACCCACCAGGTCTCACGTCCTTGCGCGCCCACACCCCCTAAAAACACACTTCACCCATCCCTCCCGGTTTCTCGACAACCCATTTGAGGCTTGCAAAGGTCCAGTACGCCCACTCAGAGGTCTCAGAAACAACATTCTTCGTCGGACAAGTCGCTTTCTTCTCCATTCCCAAGCACCAGGCCCGAGAGATGATGAAAAAACCGAATGAATGAGGTTTTTCTTCAATGAGCGACTTGATATGTTGTGAATATTGGTTTTGTAGATTGAGATTGTGGTAGAGTGAGAGCTTTTGGATTTGAAGTTGGAGGGTTGTGTAGATTGAAGACTTGTAGATATTGAAGGGCATTGTAGATAAAGGGTTTTAGATGGTGTTCCAAGATAATTTGGTGTCAGAGTGAGTGAGTGACATTGATTGATGGTGGTGGTAGTGATGGTAATAGTAAGAGGTGCTTGATGGATTGGATGCTGGGGAGGGAGTGTTGTGCTAGATTGTTCTTGGGAGATCGTATATGGGATGTCAGGGAGCAGATGGAGGAAGAGGCTGTGGATATAGAGGCCGGCCTAGATGGAGAGGATTTGTATATGAGATATCGTGAGTCGTAAGTTCATCAGGTGGTTGCTCATAAGGTCATGATTTCATAAGGTCATTGCTTCAACAAGTGATGGTGTCATAAGTGTGTAGATATGTGTTGAGATTGAGGGACAATGGACAGGCATTGTTGCCCTAGTAGCGAGCGACAGCAGCGAAGGAGGGTGAAGCAGAATTGTAGAGTTTGATGAAATGGCTGGAGATGGTCGCCGTTGTTGGCACCGATATGTGTTTGTAGATTGTCATGCTCTCGATTTGACGAGGCGTTTGAGGAGAGATGGTGGTTGAGATTCCATGGTAGATTGTTCAGATGGCATTGAAGCATTTGGTTGGCAGGATCAGCGAGTGACAGTAGCGATTTAAGGTGGCCAGAACGGCAGAGTTCGGTGGAAGTGTAGAAGCTGGTAGATTGTGGTGTTGAGAGACTTTGGTTGAGATGGATGAATAGATCCAATGGTAGATGGTTTGTATTTGATAGTGAGGTTGAGGTGTTCAGAGACAGCGGTGCTTGACCGTGGATAGGATTGATGAGAGTGCCCAAGGTGTCATTTTACCAGTTGGATGAGGCATTGAGGTTGAGGTATTGATAGTTGAGGTATTGATAGTTGAGGTATTGATAGTTGAGGTATTGATAGTTGAGGTATTGATAGTTGAGGTATTGATAGTTGA